TCGTGAGGCTGCTTTCCTCCACCTCCGTCTCCTCGCGCGTTTCTGTCTCCACCGTGGTGCTCTTCTCGCCAGAAGTCGTCTCTGTCTCCGTCGTCGTCTCCACCTCAAAGGTCTTCACCAGCTCGCCGCTGGCAGACGTCGAAAGTCGTGTCGTCGTCTTCACCGTCTTTGTCACGATGCTGCCGTCGGCTTCCTGCGACTGGAACACCTCAGTCTGCACCGACTCGCCCGGGGCCGCGCCAGCCTCCACGGTTGAGCGGATGGCCTGACCACCTGACACGGACGTCGTCGTGTTGCCGGACGTCGTCGTGAGGCTGCTTTCCTCCACCTCCGTCTCCTCGCGCGTTTCTGTCTCCACCGTGGTGCTCTTCTCGCCAGAAGTCGTCTCTGTCTCCGTCGTCGTCTCCACCTCAAAGGTCTTCACCAGCTCGCCGCTGGCAGACGTCGAAAGTCGTGTCGTCGTCTTCACCGTCTTTGTCACGATGCTGCCGTCGGCTTCCTGCGACTGGAACACCTCAGTCTGCACCGACTCGCCCGGGGCCGCGCCAGCCTCCACGGTTGAGCGGATGGCCTGACCACCTGACACGGACGTCGTCGTGTTGCCGGACGTCGTCGTGAGGCTGCTTTCCTCCACCTCCGTCTCCTCGCGCGTTTCTGTCTCCACCGTGGTGCTCTTCTCGCCAGAAGTCGTCTCTGTCTCCGTCGTCGTCTCCACCTCAAAGGTCTTCACCAGCTCGCCGCTGGCAGACGTCGAAAGTCGTGTCGTCGTCTTCACCGTCTTTGTCACGATGCTGCCGTCGGCTTCCTGCGACTGGAACACCTCAGTCTGCACCGACTCGCCCGGGGCCGCGCCAGCCTCCACGGTTGAGCGGATGGCCTGACCACCTGACACGGACGTCGTCGTGTTGCCGGACGTCGTCGTGAGGCTGCTTTCCTCCACCTCCGTCTCCTCGCGCGTTTCTGTCTCCACCGTGGTGCTCTTCTCGCCAGAAGTCGTCTCTGTCTCCGTCGTCGTCTCCACCTCAAAGGTCTTCACCAGCTCGCCGCTGGCAGACGTCGAAAGTCGTGTCGTCGTCTTCACCGTCTTTGTCACGATGCTGCCGTCGGCTTCCTGCGACTGGAACACCTCAGTCTGCACCGACTCGCCCGGGGCCGCGCCAGCCTCCACGGTTGAGCGGATGGCCTGACCACCTGACACGGACGTCGTCGTGTTGCCGGACGTCGTCGTGAGGCTGCTTTCCTCCACCTCCGTCTCCTCGCGCGTTTCTGTCTCCACCGTGGTGCTCTTCTCGCCAGAAGTCGTCTCTGTCTCCGTCGTCGTCTCCACCTCAAAGGTCTTCACCAGCTCGCCGCTGGCAGACGTCGAAAGTCGTGTCGTCGTCTTCACCGTCTTTGTCACGATGCTGCCGTCGGCTTCCTGCGACTGGAACACCTCAGTCTGCACCGACTCGCCCGGGGCCGCGCCAGCCTCCACGGTTGAGCGGATGGCCTGACCACCTGACACGGACGTCGTCGTGTTGCCGGACGTCGTCGTGAGGCTGCTTTCCTCCACCTCCGTCTCCTCGCGCGTTTCTGTCTCCACCGTGGTGCTCTTCTCGCCAGAAGTCGTCTCTGTCTCCGTCGTCGTCTCCACCTCAAAGGTCTTCACCAGCTCGCCGCTGGCAGACGTCGAAAGTCGTGTCGTCGTCTTCACCGTCTTTGTCACGATGCTGCCGTCGGCTTCCTGCGACTGGAACACCTCAGTCTGCACCGACTCGCCCGGGGCCGCGCCAGCCTCCACGGTTGAGCGGATGGCCTGACCACCTGACACGGACGTCGTCGTGTTGCCGGACGTCGTCGTGAGGCTGCTTTCCTCCACCTCCGTCTCCTCGCGCGTTTCTGTCTCCACCGTGGTGCTCTTCTCGCCAGAAGTCGTCTCTGTCTCCGTCGTCGTCTCCACCTCAAAGGTCTTCACCAGCTCGCCGCTGGCAGACGTCGAAAGTCGTGTCGTCGTCTTCACCGTCTTTGTCACGATGCTGCCGTCGGCTTCCTGCGACTGGAACACCTCAGTCTGCACCGACTCGCCCGGGGCCGCGCCAGCCTCCACGGTTGAGCGGATGGCCTGACCACCTGACACGGACGTCGTCGTGTTGCCGGACGTCGTCGTGAGGCTGCTTTCCTCCACCTCCGTCTCCTCGCGCGTTTCTGTCTCCACCGTGGTGCTCTTCTCGCCAGAAGTCGTCTCTGTCTCCGTCGTCGTCTCCACCTCAAAGGTCTTCACCAGCTCGCCGCTGGCAGACGTCGAAAGTCGTGTCGTCGTCTTCACCGTCTTTGTCACGATGCTGCCGTCGGCTTCCTGCGACTGGAACACCTCAGTCTGCACCGACTCGCCCGGGGCCGCGCCAGCCTCCACGGTTGAGCGGATGGCCTGACCACCTGACACGGACGTCGTCGTGTTGCCGGACGTCGTCGTGAGGCTGCTTTCCTCCACCTCCGTCTCCTCGCGCGTTTCTGTCTCCACCGTGGTGCTCTTCTCGCCAGAAGTCGTCTCTGTCTCCGTCGTCGTCTCCACCTCAAAGGTCTTCACCAGCTCGCCGCTGGCAGACGTCGAAAGTCGTGTCGTCGTCTTCACCGTCTTTGTCACGATGCTGCCGTCGGCTTCCTGCGACTGGAACACCTCAGTCTGCACCGACTCGCCCGGGGCCGCGCCAGCCTCCACGGTTGAGCGGATGGCCTGACCACCTGACACGGACGTCGTCGTGTTGCCGGACGTCGTCGTGAGGCTGCTTTCCTCCACCTCCGTCTCCTCGCGCGTTTCTGTCTCCACCGTGGTGCTCTTCTCGCCAGAAGTCGTCTCTGTCTCCGTCGTCGTCTCCACCTCAAAGGTCTTCACCAGCTCGCCGCTGGCAGACGTCGAAAGTCGTGTCGTCGTCTTCACCGTCTTTGTCACGATGCTGCCGTCGGCTTCCTGCGACTGGAACACCTCAGTCTGCACCGACTCGCCCGGGGCCGCGCCAGCCTCCACGGTTGAGCGGATGGCCTGACCACCTGACACGGACGTCGTCGTGTTGCCGGACGTCGTCGTGAGGCTGCTTTCCTCCACCTCCGTCTCCTCGCGCGTTTCTGTCTCCACCGTGGTGCTCTTCTCGCCAGAAGTCGTCTCTGTCTCCGTCGTCGTCTCCACCTCAAAGGTCTTCACCAGCTCGCCGCTGGCAGACGTCGAAAGTCGTGTCGTCGTCTTCACCGTCTTTGTCACGATGCTGCCGTCGGCTTCCTGCGACTGGAACACCTCAGTCTGCACCGACTCGCCCGGGGCCGCGCCAGCCTCCACGGTTGAGCGGATGGCCTGACCACCTGACACGGACGTCGTCGTGTTGCCGGACGTTGTCGTGAGGCTGCTTTCCTCCACCTCCGTCTCCTCGCGCGTTTCTGTCTCCACCGTGGTGCTCTTCTCGCCAGAAGTCGTCTCTGTCTCCGTCGTCGTCTCCACCTCAAAGGTCTTCACCAGCTCGCCGCTGGCAGACGTCGAAAGTCGTGTCGTCGTCTTCACCGTCTTTGTCACGATGCTGCCGTCGGCTTCCTGCGACTGGAACACCTCAGTCTGCACCGACTCGCCCGGGGCCGCGCCAGCCTCCACGGTTGAGCGGATGGCCTGACCACCTGACACGGACGTCGTCGTGTTGCCGGACGTCGTCGTGAGGCTGCTTTCCTCCACCTCCGTCTCCTCGCGCGTTTCTGTCTCCACCGTGGTGCTCTTCTCGCCAGAAGTCGTCTCTGTCTCCGTCGTCGTCTCCACCTCAAAGGTCTTCACCAGCTCGCCGCTGGCAGACGTCGAAAGTCGTGTCGTCGTCTTCACCGTCTTTGTCACGATGCTGCCGTCGGCTTCCTGCGACTGGAACACCTCAGTCTGCACCGACTCGCCCGGGGCCGCGCCAGCCTCCACGGTTGAGCGGATGGCCTGACCACCTGACACGGACGTCGTCGTGTTGCCGGACGTCGTCGTGAGGCTGCTTTCCTCCACCTCCGTCTCCTCGCGCGTTTCTGTCTCCACCGTGGTGCTCTTCTCGCCAGAAGTCGTCTCTGTCTCCGTCGTCGTCTCCACCTCAAAGGTCTTCACCAGCTCGCCGCTGGCAGACGTCGAAAGTCGTGTCGTCGTCTTCACCGTCTTTGTCACGATGCTGCCGTCGGCTTCCTGCGACTGGAACACCTCAGTCTGCACCGACTCGCCCGGGGCCGCGCCAGCCTCCACGGTTGAGCGGATGGCCTGACCACCTGACACGGACGTCGTCGTGTTGCCGGACGTCGTCGTGAGGCTGCTTTCCTCCACCTCCGTCTCCTCGCGCGTTTCTGTCTCCACCGTGGTGCTCTTCTCGCCAGAAGTCGTCTCTGTCTCCGTCGTCGTCTCCACCTCAAAGGTCTTCACCAGCTCGCCGCTGGCAGACGTCGAAAGTCGTGTCGTCGTCTTCACCGTCTTTGTCACGATGCTGCCGTCGGCTTCCTGCGACTGGAACACCTCAGTCTGCACCGACTCGCCCGGGGCCGCGCCAGCCTCCACGGTTGAGCGGATGGCCTGACCACCTGACACGGACGTCGTCGTGTTGCCGGACGTTGTCGTGAGGCTGCTTTCCTCCACCTCCGTCTCCTCGCGCGTTTCTGTCTCCACCGTGGTGCTCTTCTCGCCAGAAGTCGTCTCTGTCTCCGTCGTCGTCTCCACCTCAAAGGTCTTCACCAGCTCGCCGCTGGCAGACGTCGAAAGTCGTGTCGTCGTCTTCACCGTCTTTGTCACGATGCTGCCGTCGGCTTCCTGCGACTGGAACACCTCAGTCTGCACCGACTCGCCCGGGGCCGCGCCAGCCTCCACGGTTGAGCGGATGGCCTGACCACCTGACACGGACGTCGTCGTGTTGCCGGACGTCGTCGTGAGGCTGCTTTCCTCCACCTCCGTCTCCTCGCGCGTTTCTGTCTCCACCGTGGTGCTCTTCTCGCCGGAAGTCGTCTCTGTCTCCGTCGTCGTCTCCACCTCAAAGGTCTTCACCAGCTCGCCGCTGGCAGACGTCGAAAGTCGTGTCGTCGTCTTCACCGTCTTTGTCACGATGCTGCCGTCGGCTTCCTGCGACTGGAACACCTCAGTCTGCACCGACTCGCCCGGGGCCGCGCCAGCCTCCACGGTTGAGCGGATGGCCTGACCACCTGACACGGACGTCGTCGTGTTGCCGGACGTCGTCGTGAGGCTGCTTTCCTCCACCTCCGTCTCCTCGCGCGTTTCTGTCTCCACCGTGGTGCTCTTCTCGCCAGAAGTCGTCTCTGTCTCCGTCGTCGTCTCCACCTCAAAGGTCTTCACCAGCTCGCCGCTGGCAGACGTCGAAAGTCGTGTCGTCGTCTTCACCGTCTTTGTCACGATGCTGCCGTCGGCTTCCTGCGACTGGAACACCTCAGTCTGCACCGACTCGCCCGGGGCCGCGCCAGCCTCCACGGTTGAGCGGATGGCCTGACCACCTGACACGGACGTCGTCGTGTTGCCGGACGTTGTCGTGAGGCTGCTTTCCTCCACCTCCGTCTCCTCGCGCGTTTCTGTCTCCACCGTGGTGCTCTTCTCGCCAGAAGTCGTCTCTGTCTCCGTCGTCGTCTCCACCTCAAAGGTCTTCACCAGCTCGCCGCTGGCAGACGTCGAAAGTCGTGTCGTCGTCTTCACCGTCTTTGTCACGATGCTGCCGTCGGCTTCCTGCGACTGGAACACCTCAGTCTGCACCGACTCGCCCGGGGCCGCGCCAGCCTCCACGGTTGAGCGGATGGCCTGACCACCTGACACGGACGTCGTCGTGTTGCCGGACGTTGTCGTGAGGCTGCTTTCCTCCACCTCCGTCTCCTCGCGCGTTTCTGTCTCCACCGTGGTGCTCTTCTCGCCAGAAGTCGTCTCTGTCTCCGTCGTCGTCTCCACCTCAAAGGTCTTCACCAGCTCGCCGCTGGCAGACGTCGAAAGTCGTGTCGTCGTCTTCACCGTCTTTGTCACGATGCTGCCGTCGGCTTCCTGCGACTGGAACACCTCAGTCTGCACCGACTCGCCCGGGGCCGCGCCAGCCTCCACGGTTGAGCGGATGGCCTGACCACCTGACACGGACGTCGTCGTGTTGCCGGACGTCGTCGTGAGGCTGCTTTCCTCCACCTCCGTCTCCTCGCGCGTTTCTGTCTCCACCGTGGTGCTCTTCTCGCCAGAAGTCGTCTCTGTCTCCGTCGTCGTCTCCACCTCAAAGGTCTTCACCAGCTCGCCGCTGGCAGACGTCGAAAGTCGTGTCGTCGTCTTCACCGTCTTTGTCACGATGCTGCCGTCGGCTTCCTGCGACTGGAACACCTCAGTCTGCACCGACTCGCCCGGGGCCGCGCCAGCCTCCACGGTTGAGCGGATGGCCTGACCACCTGACACGGACGTCGTCGTGTTGCCGGACGTTGTCGTGAGGCTGCTTTCCTCCACCTCCGTCTCCTCGCGCGTTTCTGTCTCCACCGTGGTGCTCTTCTCGCCAGAAGTCGTCTCTGTCTCCGTCGTCGTCTCCACCTCAAAGGTCTTCACCAGCTCGCCGCTGGCAGACGTCGAAAGTCGTGTCGTCGTCTTCACCGTCTTTGTCACGATGCTGCCGTCGGCTTCCTGCGACTGGAACACCTCAGTCTGCACCGACTCGCCCGGGGCCGCGCCAGCCTCCACGGTTGAGCGGATGGCCTGACCACCTGACACGGACGTCGTCGTGTTGCCGGACGTTGTCGTGAGGCTGCTTTCCTCCACCTCCGTCTCCTCGCGCGTTTCTGTCTCCACCGTGGTGCTCTTCTCGCCAGAAGTCGTCTCTGTCTCCGTCGTCGTCTCCACCTCAAAGGTCTTCACCAGCTCGCCGCTGGCAGACGTCGAAAGTCGTGTCGTCGTCTTCACCGTCTTTGTCACGATGCTACCGTCGGCTTCCTGCGACTGGAACACCTCAGTCTGCACCGACTCGCCCGGGGCCGCGCCAGCCTCCACGGTTGAGCGGATGGCCTGACCACCTGACACGGACGTCGTCGTGTTGCCGGACGTTGTCGTGAGGCTGCTTTCCTCCACCTCCGTCTCCTCGAGCGTTTCTGTCTCCACCGTGGTGCTCTTCTCGCCAGAAGTCGTCTCTGTCTCCGTCGTCGTCTCCACCTCAAAGGTCTTCACCAGCTCGCCGCTGGCAGACGTCGAAAGTCGTGTCGTCGTCTTCACCGTCTTTGTCACGATGCTGCCGTCGGCTTCCTGCGACTGGAACACCTCAGTCTGCACCGACTCGCCCGGGGCCGCGCCAGCCTCCACGGTTGAGCGGATGACCTGACCACCTGACACGGACGTCGTCGTGTTGCCGGACGTCGTCGTGAGGCTGCTTTCCTCCACCTCCGTCTCCTCGCGCGTTTCTGTCTCCACCGTGGTGCTCTTCTCGCCGGAAGTCGTCTCTGTCTCCGTCGTCGTCTCCACCTCAAAGGTCTTCACCAGCTCGCCGCTGGCAGACGTCGAAAGTCGTGTCGTCGTCTTCACCGTCTTTGTCACGATGCTGCCGTCGGCTTCCTGCGACTGGAACACCTCAGTCTGCACCGACTCGCCCGGGGCCGCGCCAGCCTCCACGGTTGAGCGGATGGCCTGACCACCTGACACGGACGTCGTCGTGTTGCCGGACGTTGTCGTGAGGCTGCTTTCCTCCACCTCCGTCTCCTCGCGCGTTTCTGTCTCCACCGTGGTGCTCTTCTCGCCAGAAGTCGTCTCTGTCTCCGTCGTCGTCTCCACCTCAAAGGTCTTCACCAGCTCGCCGCTGGCAGACGTCGAAAGTCGTGTCGTCGTCTTCACCGTCTTTGTCACGATGCTGCCGTCGGCTTCCTGCGACTGGAACACCTCAGTCTGCACCGACTCGCCCGGGGCCGCGCCAGCCTCCACGGTTGAGCGGATGGCCTGACCACCTGACACGGACGTCGTCGTGTTGCCGGACGTTGTCGTGAGGCTGCTTTCCTCCACCTCCGTCTCCTCGCGCGTTTCTGTCTCCACCGTGGTGCTCTTCTCGCCAGAAGTCGTCTCTGTCTCCGTCGTCGTCTCCACCTCAAAGGTCTTCACCAGCTCGCCGCTGGCAGACGTCGAAAGTCGTGTCGTCGTCTTCACCGTCTTTGTCACGATGCTGCCGTCGGCTTCCTGCGACTGGAACACCTCAGTCTGCACCGACTCGCCCGGGGCCGCGCCAGCCTCCACGGTTGAGCGGATGACCTGACCACCTGACACGGACGTCGTCGTGTTGCCGGACGTCGTCGTGAGGCTGCTTTCCTCCACCTCCGTCTCCTCGCGCGTTTCTGTCTCCACCGTGGTGCTCTTCTCGCCAGAAGTCGTCTCTGTCTCCGTCGTCGTCTCCACCTCAAAGGTCTTCACCAGCTCGCCGCTGGCAGACGTCGAAAGTCGTGTCGTCGTCTTCACCGTCTTTGTCACGATGCTGCCGTCGGCTTCCTGCGACTGGAACACCTCAGTCTGCACCGACTCGCCCGGGGCCGCGCCAGCCTCCACGGTTGAGCGGATGACCTGACCACCTGACACGGACGTCGTCGTGTTGCCGGACGTCGTCGTGAGGCTGCTTTCCTCCACCTCCGTCTCCTCGCGCGTTTCTGTCTCCACCGTGGTGCTCTTCTCGCCAGAAGTCGTCTCTGTCTCCGTCGTCGTCTCCACCTCAAAGGTCTTCACCAGCTCGCCGCTGGCAGACGTCGAAAGTCGTGTCGTCGTCTTCACCGTCTTTGTCACGATGCTGCCGTCGGCTTCCTGCGACTGGAACACCTCAGTCTGCACCGACTCGCCCGGGGCCGCGCCAGCCTCCACGGTTGAGCGGATGGCCTGACCACCTGACACGGACGTCGTCGTGTTGCCGGACGTTGTCGTGAGGCTGCTTTCCTCCACCTCCGTCTCCTCGCGCGTTTCTGTCTCCACCGTGGTGCTCTTCTCGCCAGAAGTCGTCTCTGTCTCCGTCGTCGTCTCCACCTCAAAGGTCTTCACCAGCTCGCCGCTGGCAGACGTCGAAAGTCGTGTCGTCGTCTTCACCGTCTTTGTCACGATGCTGCCGTCGGCTTCCTGCGACTGGAACACCTCAGTCTGCACCGACTCGCCCGGGGCCGCGCCAGCCTCCACGGTTGAGCGGATGGCCTGACCACCTGACACGGACGTCGTCGTGTTGCCGGACGTTGTCGTGAGGCTGCTTTCCTCCACCTCCGTCTCCTCGCGCGTTTCTGTCTCCACCGTGGTGCTCTTCTCGCCAGAAGTCGTCTCTGTCTCCGTCGTCGTCTCCACCTCAAAGGTCTTCACCAGCTCGCCGCTGGCAGACGTCGAAAGTCGTGTCGTCGTCTTCACCGTCTTTGTCACGATGCTGCCGTCGGCTTCCTGCGACTGGAACACCTCAGTCTGCACCGACTCGCCCGGGGCCGCGCCAGCCTCCACGGTTGAGCGGATGGCCTGACCACCTGACACGGACGTCGTCGTGTTGCCGGACGTTGTCGTGAGGCTGCTTTCCTCCACCTCCGTCTCCTCGCGCGTTTCTGTCTCCACCGTGGTGCTCTTCTCGCCAGAAGTCGTCTCTGTCTCCGTCGTCGTCTCCACCTCAAAGGTCTTCACCAGCTCGCCGCTGGCAGACGTCGAAAGTCGTGTCGTCGTCTTCACCGTCTTTGTCACGATGCTGCCGTCGGCTTCCTGCGACTGGAACACCTCAGTCTGCACCGACTCGCCCGGGGCCGCGCCAGCCTCCACGGTTGAGCGGATGGCCTGACCACCTGACACGGACGTCGTCGTGTTGCCGGACGTCGTCGTGAGGCTGCTTTCCTCCACCTCCGTCTCCTCGCGCGTTTCTGTCTCCACCGTGGTGCTCTTCTCGCCAGAAGTCGTCTCTGTCTCCGTCGTCGTCTCCACCTCAAAGGTCTTCACCAGCTCGCCGCTGGCAGACGTCGAAAGTCGTGTCGTCGTCTTCACCGTCTTTGTCACAATGCTGCCGTCGGCTTCCTGCGACTGGAACACCTCAGTCTGCACCGACTCGCCCGGGGCCGCGCCAGCCTCCACGGTTGAGCGGATGGCCTGACCACCTGACACGGACGTCGTCGTGTTGCCGGACGTCGTCGTGAGGCTGCTTTCCTCCACCTCCGTCTCCTCGCGCGTTTCTGTCTCCACCGTGGTGCTCTTCTCGCCGGAAGTCGTCTCTGTCTCCGTCGTCGTCTCCACCTCAAAGGTCTTCACCAGCTCGCCGCTGGCAGACGTCGAAAGTCGTGTCGTCGTCTTCACCGTCTTTGTCACAATGCTGCCGTCGGCTTCCTGCGACTGGAACACCTCAGTCTGCACCGACTCGCCCGGGGCCGCGCCAGCCTCCACGGTTGAGCGGATGGCCTGACCACCTGACACGGACGTCGTCGTGTTGCCGGACGTTGTCGTGAGGCTGCTTTCCTCCACCTCCGTCTCCTCGCGCGTTTCTGTCTCCACCGTGGTGCTCTTCTCGCCGGAAGTCGTCTCTGTCTCCGTCGTCGTCTCCACCTCAAAGGTCTTCACCAGCTCGCCGCTGGCAGACGTCGAAAGTCGTGTCGTCGTCTTCACCGTCTTTGTCACAATGCTGCCGTCGGCTTCCTGCGACTGGAACACCTCAGTCTGCACCGACTCGCCCGGGGCCGCGCCAGCCTCCACGGTTGAGCGGATGGCCTGACCACCTGACACGGACGTCGTCGTGTTGCCGGACGTTGTCGTGAGGCTGCTTTCCTCCACCTCCGTCTCCTCGCGCGTTTCTGTCTCCACCGTGGTGCTCTTCTCGCCAGAAGTCGTCTCTGTCTCCGTCGTCGTCTCCACCTCAAAGGTATTCACCAGCTCGCCGCTGGCAGACGTCGAAAGTCGTGTCGTCGTCTTCACCGTCTTTGTCACGATGCTGCCGTCGGCTTCCTGCGACTGGAACACCTCAGTCTGCACCGACTCGCCCGGGGCCGCGCCAGCCTCCACGGTTGAGCGGATGACCTGACCACCTGACACGGACGTCGTCGTGTTGCCGGACGTTGTCGTGAGGCTGCTTTCCTCCACCTCCGTCTCCTCGCGCGTTTCTGTCTCCACCGTGGTGCTCTTCTCGCCGGAAGTCGTCTCTGTCTCCGTCGTCGTCTCCACCTCAAAGGTCTTCACCAGCTCGCCGCTGGCAGACGTCGAAAGTCGTGTCGTCGTCTTCACCGTCTTTGTCACGATGCTGCCGTCGGCTTCCTGCGACTGGAACACCTCAGTCTGCACCGACTCGCCCGGGGCCGCGCCAGCCTCCACGGTTGAGCGGATGACCTGACCACCTGACACGGACGTCGTCGTGTTGCCGGACGTCGTCGTGAGGCTGCTTTCCTCCACCTCCGTCTCCTCGCGCGTTTCTGTCTCCACCGTGGTGCTCTTCTCGCCGGAAGTCGTCTCTGTCTCCGTCGTCGTCTCCACCTCAAAGGTCTTCACCAGCTCGCCGCTGGCAGACGTCGAAAGTCGTGTCGTCGTCTTCACCGTCTTTGTCACGATGCTGCCGTCGGCTTCCTGCGACTGGAACACCTCCGTCTTGACCGTTTCTTTGTCCCCTTGCGTCTTACCGTTGTTCGGCTCCGTCTCGGGCTCCTGAGGCCCCTTCATTGTCTTGTTTACGCTGCTTGTAAGCTCGCTCATGGCTTCAAAGTCCGTGACACGTGCCTTCTTTTCCGCTTTCGTGTACAAAGTCCCTTCGCTGCCCACGTTCTTCTCGTTGGTCGTTGTCTTGCCACTGATCTCGGCCAATTTCTTTTGCTTGGCATCCATCTCGGCTGATTCGGCTCCACCCATGATCTTTCTTTCTTTACACGTGATACTTACACACTTGACACTGGATACTGCTAGGCCTGTTCTTGCCCCTGAATACGCTTGACTTGCTCTTGAGTATGCAAAAGCGAATATGAAGTCGAAGATCGTCAAGCCTTCGGATATGGCTATGTTATGATTGACCTCTTTGAACGTATTTATGCAAATCAAAGCTAGAAAATAAGTTATTACAAGTAGCACGAGATTGGAAGCGATGCAGCAACGGACGAGCCAGTAGTGAAGCTAGATTCTTATAGCGCTTGTACATTCTAGAACCTTTTCTTATTGCTAGAAGCTGCCATGCTAAATGCATTATGACATGTAGGCTGAGACCATGCATACCACTCTCGTTTCTGGTCATCTCCCGCAAACAACATGTTTACTATACCTTGAGGGAAGGCTGTGTCAGCGCGTTCCCTCTGTTTTGTTGGACATTGACCTAACAAGCAGCTAAGCCAACGATAGGAAATACCATGCATAATGTCGTCAGATGTATAGCACTAGAACTTGGTAGCGTGTTCGCACTGAAGCACTTCACCTTGAAGTTGAGAGAGCGATGATATGCATATAGCTTATATATAATAAGGCAGCTGCGTATAATTTAGACTTGACGAAAATATCAAGTTTTTGAGTTATTCCGAGAGCTGTAGTAAGACGAATAATTTACGTAGTCACATTTAAAGAAACCTTGAAATAGTCACAACCGTGGCATATAAGGATACACAGATATCGATTTCTACAGGCATCTCTTCTAAATCAGTTTGAAGCCTTGAACCAATGAAAAACGTGCAGGAAGTGCCATAGGAACCGATGAGATGTCCTGGTTTTTATCGGTCGTACCTCAATCGACGCTCACGCAGAGCTCTCTCTCTCAGGACTCGGAATATACTGCATCTATATATACCAATCAAGCCACGTGATACTCGGTGGTGACGTCTACATAAAAAGTCTCTGAGTGACTCGCACGCCATTACGAAGATATTTTACATGAACAATAAGATGTCGCCTCGTTTGACGTAAAAATTGAGACGCAGCTGAGTGGGTGGACTGACGTCGTAGCTACTTTCGGTGAAGTCTACAGGGACTTTTATCAGTAGATGCTCTCAATTATGAAACAGTAGCGGCATAATCATAGGCCACTTGATTAGGACAGAACATGGCCAGACTTGTCCTACCAAGCTGATGATGGGATCCACTGATTTTGCCATGGATTACTGCCGGAGCTCATTGACGAATCGCCATCTGACCTACAGGCGACTGGTCGCGCTATTCGAAGAGAGGGTCTGGTATTCGCGGCGCACCCGCTGCTTCATTGGTCCCCTTGGTCGTTCCGGACACAACGTCAAATCACTTCATCACGAAGGTCTTAGGCAAGCAAACCTTCCGGTTCCACATAAAAGTTTTTGCCCGTCAACTTTCGGTTCTCGTTGATTGTCTTTCACAATCGGCAACAACGGATGAATGGCAAAGCGCAGCTCTCCAGCAAACGCCGACGCAAGTGTGGGATCAGAGTAATGGTCTCACTTCATTTCAAGTCTGGACAGGGTACCGGGTGGCGACAGGACAATTAAATCTGTATCACGCCGAGAGAAACGAACACAATAGTTGCAAAAAGATGCCGGATTGCAGCGGAAGGAAGGAGACCATTGTCCATCTGTTTTGGGAATGTGATTGCGCTGCAGCGCTCTGGAAAAAGCTCATTAGTCACTGGACCGGGCAGATCGTCACCCGCCAATTGATCCAAAACTTTCGGGGGGTCTGTGCAAGTCGACGAGTTGACAGCATACCCGAGTACCGCACGAAAATCCTAGCGGATCGATTTCAGGAAGACGCCAATGAAGCCGAACGCGTCTGGACACAAATTAGCATGTCCTCGCGACGATATGCCCAGCACGAATTTAGATAGACAGGAATGCAGCCGTCTTCAAGGCTGTCGCACGCCACATTCCCAGCAGCATCGCCAGTTTTTGGGCCTCGTGCCTTTATCAGCTCCGAGCAATCGCAAAGAGAGAGCATCGAAAAACTGCGTCAGTCACACGTGGTGCCTTGCTTTATGCTTGCATTAAATTGCTTGAGCGCGACCCTAAAGGGTCACCGAGTTCTAGCCACGATAAATCGTCGGGCCCTCCGGCGCTGATATCCTGGCTCAGGACTCTTCAGAGATCTTGCACATACTTATCACCGTGAAGATAGACAATCTGAACCTCTCTAAGCAAACTATGAAACAAGTAGCTTCGTGTCTAAAGTGTTAGTTGAATTGGGGCTACTTTATAAAGCGGCAAGATCGCTCACTTTCTTTCCAGGCCACGCACATGCTAGAAGGCCTTTTATCCGTGGAAACACTTCAAGCTGTGGATGTACATGCATAAGCTTTCAATATACACTGTGGGACCGTGTTTGCGTCCAAGAACGTAGGAAAGTGGCTCTACGTTACTTGTCATTTTCGCCCTTCTTCTTACTGTTCTATACTATCGCCGGATTCGGACTTGTCACTTCAGCGAGTCGTTATACGAAGTCCATAAATTTATACTTGTTATTATGGCGTCTTTACGAATGCTGTCTTCCTGATTTAACCCGGCTCGCTCGGATTGGTTGGTCATATGAAGGATCCAGAAGCTCCAGTGAGGATTTGCGCGTGTCAAGCAGCTTCATTTTAGAGTTTGCGGCGTCTCGAGTGGTGCAGTAGTGCAGTCCAGTAGGTCGCCGAGTGCAAAACTCGAAGGACATGGGCAGTCCCAATAGCAAGATGGAAGGTGGCGACACAGCGGCGAGGCTGAGCACCAACAGTGAACGTTCGAGCTTTGACTCCACTAGCAGCCAAAACATTATAATCTTTGACGAGAGCGGCGACGAGCGCGCGCCCATTAAGCTGATTGAGGACCACTACACGGCCAGGACGGAGCAGCAAAAGTCTCAGGAGGAATCGAGTGTGCAAACGCAGGTGTTCCGCTCAGAGGACGTGGACGGCAGTGTCGTGACCAAGACGGTCCGCACCACCGGGATGACGACGCGCTCCGAGTCGGGAGACTTTGACACGACTATTGAGGTGCAGACCACAACTGAGACGGAAACTAAGGACGGCATCAAAAGTACGTCCGTCACCACGGAGACTAGCATGAAGACGGTCGCCAGCCAAGGCACAATGTTTATGAAGGAAGGAAGTGTGGAGAGCGACGTCCAGATGCAGGTGTTCCGCACAGTGGAGGAAGATGACAACTTCGTGACCAAGACGGTGCGTACCCCTAGACGAACAGTACTGATGGACGACGTTGCTACGACCATGATCGAAGTGGGGACGACGACGGAAACGGAGAATAAGGATGGCGCCAAGAACACCAGCGTGTCAACGGAGATACGAACGGAGGCAGGAGGAAACAACTCGGATCACTGTATTGACCTAGGTACTGAAGAGAAGACCTCTCTTTTTGCGGCAAGTCAAGATGCTACCGTCGACTTGGCGGAGAATGAGGAAGGGAGCCATCGCCCATTTTTGTTTAGAAAACAGCAAAAGTGGTGCCCACAATTTGTGACGTGTCTGGACCGTCACAACAAACGCATTGAAATGCTATCCACGACGGATTTTCTGCAGACTGCGCGTGAATTTTGTCGTGAGAACCTTGCTGAATTCCGTCCGGAACTTTTCGACTGCGGCTCGATGGAGGCGAATATGGAATATTATGGAAAGGTGGCGCAGCTTGCGGATCATTACCCAATTGTAGCTGTGCAAATGCTTGCGCAAGACTTTAATGATAAAAATGTGTTGATTGTTGACGAGCATTCGCACGCTTTCGACAGCAACAATCATTTGCGCAAGGAGGTGGCGGTGTCCATGCTTTGGCGCTCGAAATCCGATGCTTGCAAAGTGTTTGACGTCCTTCTGGTTCTGAAGGGCGGAGATGTGGTGTACCATGGGGCTGGCGAGGAAATTGAGGAGTACTTTCGCGACTTGGGGTATTATTGTGCCCCTGGACAGCAGGTAGCACAATTTTTATTGAGCTTGGCTGCTGAGGAAGGAGACCGCTACCGTATCACGGTACCTAGTTCTAGGCTGCATGGCACTTTCAGTCACTTTATTAAACCCTTCGTTCTCATGAAAGTTGCAGATGATACTGCTCTCATTGCTCGAGGAGACACTACATATGCCCGTCAACCTACCATCGACATTACCCCGTGTCAAAACAAGTGTCCATCCTCAACAGACCATCATATTATTGCCGCGCCCCCAAACGTTGTTGCAGCTGTGAATGTGTCGGAACAGACTGGCGCTGCACCAGGCGGGTCGGTGAAGACGGAGGTGTTCCGCTCGGAGGAATCGGACGGTAGCATCGTGACCAAGACAGTCCGTACCACGATTCACACTGTGAAGTCTGACACGGGTGCGCTAGTGACGACGATCGATGTCGAGACGATGACCGAGACGGAGTCTCGGGACGGCACAATGAGTACTACGGTGGCGACAAGGAGTGACAAAAAGACGGCGACGGAGGCAAGCAGACTCACGACGACATCTGCTACTGGTGCTGCAGCTGTGAATGTGACGGAGCAGACTGGCACTCCACTAGACGAGCCGGTGAAGACGGAGGTGTTTTGCTCGGAGGAATCGGACGGTAGCATCGTGACCAAGACAGTCCGTATCACGAGCCACACTGTGAAGTCTGACACGGGTGCGCTGGTGACGACGATCGATGTCGAGACGACGACCGAGACGGAGTTTCGGGACGGCACAATCAGTACTACGGTGGCGACAGGAAGTCACAAGAAAACTGAGGAGACTACGACGTCTACGACGATATATTCGGAAGTAACGACTGCTTCCGCTGAGGACCCGGCAAAAATTACCGCATTTTCGGCCGTAGCGTCAGCCCCATTCACCGAAGAGACGAAGAAGACCACAAAGTTTATAATGGAGACGTCTGAGGAGGTGCCTGAGGAGCCGTCTTCTCAGGATATGGCGAAGACCGAGGAGACCACAACGATAACGACCGTGACGGAAATGACGTCGGTGCCTTCCACCGAAGAGACGGTAGAGGAAACGACGACGTTCACGACGGAGACGTTGGAGGTGGTGCCGGCACGTTCCATTGATAAATTGGAGGATATTACAATGGAGACGACTGAGACAACGGAGACGTTTGAGATGTTGTCGGGGGAACCATCCACTCAGGAAATGGCAAGAACCGAGGAGACCGCGACGGGGACGTCGGAGGTGGAGTATGAGGAGCCATCTACTCAGGATATGGCGAAGACCGAAGAGACCACAACGATAACGACCGTGACGGAAATGACGTCGGTGCCTTCCACCGAAGAGACGGTAGAGGAAACGACGACGTTCACGACGGAGACGTTGGAGGTGGTGCCGGCACGTTCCATTGATAAATTGGAGGATATTACAATGGAGACGACTGAGACAACGGAGACGTCTGGGATGTTGTCGGAGGAACCATCCACTCAGGATATGGCAAAGACCGAGGAGATCGCGACGGAGACATCGGAGGTGGGGTATGAGGAGCCATCTACTCAGGATATGGCGAAGACCGAGGAGACCACAACGATTACGACCGTGACAGAGACGACTTCGGTGCCTTCTACTGAAGAGACGGTAGAGGAAACGACGACGTTCACGACGGAGACGTTGGAAGTGGTGCCGGCACGTTCCATTGATACATTAAAGGATATTACAATGGAGACGACTGAGACAACGGAGACGTCTGAGATGTTGTCGGAGGAATCATCTACTCAGGTAATGGCGAAAACCGAGGAGACCACAACGATTACGACCGTGACAGAGACGACTTCGGTGCCTTCTACTGAAGAGACGGTAGAGGAAACGACGACGTTCACGACGGAGACGTTGGAAGTGGTGCCGGCACGTTCCATTGATACATTAAAGGATATTACAATGGAGACGACTGAGACAACGGAGACGTCTGAGATGTTGTCGGGGGAATCATCTACTCAGGTAATGGCGAAAACCGAGGAGACCACAACGATTACGACCGTGACAGAGACGACTTCGGTGCCTTCTACTGAAGAGACGGTAGAGGAAACGACGACGTTCACGACGGAGACGTTGGAAGTGGTGCCGGCACGTTCCATTGATACATTGGAGGATATTACAATGGAGACGACTGAGACAACGGAGACGTCTGAGATGTTGTCGGAGGAATCATCTACTCAGGATATGGCGAAGACCGAGGAGACCACAACGATAACGACCGTGACGGAAATGACGTCGGTGCCTTCTACTGAAGAGACGGTAGAGGAAACGACGACGTTCACGACGGAGACGTTGGAGGTGGTGCCGGCACGTTCCATTGATACATTAAAGGATATTACAATGGAGACGACTGAGAGAACGGAGACGTCTGAGATGTTGTCGGAGGAATCATCTACTCAGGTAATGGCGAAAACCGAGGAGACCACAACGATTACGACCGTGACAGAGACGACTTCGGTGCCTTCTACTGAAGAGACGGTAGAGGAAACGACGACGTTCACGACGGAGACGTTGGAAGTGGTGCCGGCACGTTCCATTGATACATTGGAGGATATTACAATAGAGACGACTGAGACAACAGAGACGTCTGAGATGTTGTCGGAGGAACCATCTACTCAGGATAATGGCGAAGACCGAGGAGACCACAACGATAACGACCGTGACGGAAATGACGTCGGTGCCTTCTACTGAAGAGACGGTAGAGGAAACGACGACGTTCACGACGGAGACGTTGGAGGTGGTGCCGGCACGTTCCATTGATACATTAAAGGATATTACAATGGAGACGACTGAGAGAACGGAGACGTCTGAGATGTTTTCGGAGGAATCATCTACTCAGGTAATGGCGAAAACCGAGGAGACCACAACGATTACGACCGTGACAGAGACGACTTCGGTGCCTTCTACTGAAGAGACGGTAGAGGAAACGACGACGTTCACGACGGAGACGTTGGAAGTGGTGCCGGCACGTTCCATTGATACATTAAAGGATATTACAATGGGGAGACGTCTGAGATGTTGTCGGAGGAATCATCTACTCAGGTAATGGCGAAAACCGAGGAGACCACAACGATTACGACCGTGACAGAGACGACTTCGGTGCCTTCTACTGAAGAGACGGTAGAGGAAACGACGACGTTCACGACGGAGACGTTGGAGGTGGTGCCGGCACGTTCCATTGATACATTAAAGGATATTACAATGGAGACGACTGAGAGAACGGAGACGTCTGAGATGTTGTCGGAGGAATCATCTACTCAGGTAATGGCGAAAACCGAGGAGACCACAACGATTACGACCGTGACAGAGACGACTTCGGTGCCTTCTACTGAAGAGACGGTAGAGGAAACGACGACGTTCACGACGGAGACGTTGGAGGTGGTGCCGGCACGTTCCATTGATACATTGGAGGATATTACAATAGAGACGACTGAGACAACAGAGACGTCTGAGATGTTGTCGGAGGAATCATCTACTCAGGTAATGGCGAAGACCGAAGAGACCACAACGATAACGACCGTGACGGAAATGACGTCGGTGCCTTCTACTGAAGAGACGGTAGAGGAAACGACGACGTTCACGACGGAGACGTTGGAGGTGGTGCCGGCACGTTCCATTGATAAATTGGAGGATATTACAATGGAGACGACTGAAACAACGGAGACGTCTGAGATGTTGTCGGAGGAATCATCTACCGAGGATATGGCAAAAACCGAGGAGACCGAGACGGAGACGTCGGAGGTGGAGTATGAGGAGCCATCTACTCAGGATATGGCGAAGACCGAAGAGACCACGACGATTACGACCGTGACGGAAATGACGTCGGTGCCTTCTACTGAAGAGACGGTAAAGGAAACGACGACGTTCACGACGGAGACGTTGGAAGTGGTGCCGGCACGTTCCATTGATAAATTGGAGGATATTACAATGGAGACGACTGAAACAACGGAGACGTCTGAGATGTTGTCGGAGGAATCATCTACCGAGGATATGGCAAAAACCGAGGAGACCGAGACGGAGACGTCGGAGGTGGAGTATGAGGAGCCATCTACTCAGGATATGGCGAAGACCGAAGAGACCACGACGATTACGACCGTGACGGAAATGACGTCGGTGCCTTCTACTGAAGAGACGGTAAAGGAAACGACGACGTTCACGACGGAGACGTTGGAAGTGGTGCCGGCACGTTCCATTGATACATTGGAGGATATTACAATAGAGACGACTGAGACAACAGAGACGTCTGAGATGTTGTCGGAGGAACCATCTACTCAGGATATGGCGAAGACCGAAGAGACCACAACGATTACGACCGTGACGGAAATGACGTCGGTGCCTTCTACTGAAGAGACGGTAAAGGAAACGACGACGTTCACGACGGAGACGTTGGAGGTGGTGCCGGCACGTTCCATTGATAAATTGGAGGATATTACAATGGAGACGACTGAGACAACGGAGACGTCTGAGATGTTGTCGGGGGAACCATCCACTCAGGAAATGGCAAAAACCGAGGAGACCGAGACGGAGACGTCGGAGGTGGAGTATGAGGAGCCATCTACTCAGGATATGGCGAAGACCGAGGAGACCACAACGATAACGACCGTGACAGAGACGACGTCGGTGCCTTCTACTGAAGAGACGGTAAAGGAAACGACGACGTTCACGACGGAGACGTTGGAAGTGGTGCCGGCACGTTCCATTGATACATTGGAGGATATTACAATGGAGACGACTGAGACAACGGAGACGACTGAGACAACGGAGACGTCTGAGATGTTGTCGGGGGAACCATCTACTCAGGATATGGCGAAGACCGAAGAGACCACAACGATTACGACCGTGACAGAGACGACTTCGGTGCCTTCTACTGAAGAGACGGTAGAGGAAACGACGACGTTCACGACGGAGACGTTGGAAGTGGTGCCGGCACGTTCCATTGATAAATTGGAGGATATTACAATGGAGACGACTGAGACAACGGAGACGTTTGAGATGTTGTCGGGGGAACCATCTACTCAGGAAATGGCAAATACCGAGGAGACCGCGACGGAGACGTCGGAGGTGGAGTATGAGGAGCCATCTACTCAGGATATGGCGAAGACCGAAGAGACCACGACGATTACGACCGTGACGGAAATGACGTCGGTGCCTTCTACTGAAGAGACGGTAAAGGAACCACGACGACGTTCACGACGGAGACGTTGGAAGTGGTGCCGGCACGTTCCATTGATACATTAAAGGATATTACAATGGAGACGACTGAGACAACGGAGACGTTTGAGATGTTGTCGGGGGAACCATCTACTCAGGAAATGGCAAAAACCGAGGAGACCGCGACGGAGACGTCGGAGGTGGAGTATGAGGAGCCATCTACTCAGGATATGGCGAAGACCGAAGAGACCACAACGATTACGAACGTGACGGAAATGACGTCGGTGCCTTCTACTGAAGAGACGGTAAAGGAAACGACGACGTTCACGACGGAGACGTTGGAAGTGGTGCCGGCACGTTCCATTGATACATTGGAGGATATTACAATAGAGACGACTGAGACAACAGAGACGTCTGAGAGGTTGTCGGAGGAACCATCTACTCAGGATATGGCGAAGACCGAAGAGACCACAACGATAACGACCGTGACGGAAATGACGTCGGTGCCTTCTACTGAAGAGACGGTAAAGGAAACGACGACGTTCTCGACGGAGACGTTGGAAGTGGTGCCGGCACGTTCCATTGATACATTAGAGGATATTACAATGGAGACGACTGAGACAACGGAGACGTCTGAAATGTTGTCGGAGGAATCATCTACCGAGGATATGGCAAATACCGAGGAGACCGCGACGGAGACGTCGGAGGTGGAGTATGAGGAGCCATCTACTCAGGATATGGCGAAGACCGAAGAGACCACGACGATTACGACCGTGACGGAAATGACGTCGGTGCCTTCTACAGAAGAGACGGTAAAGGAAACGACGACGTTCACGACGGAGACGTTGGAAGTGGTGCCGGCACGTTCCATTGATACATTGGAGGATATTACAATGGAGACGACTGAGACAACGGAGACGTCTGAGATGTTGTCGGAGGAACCATCTACTCAGGATATGGCGAAGACCGAAGAGACCACAACGATAACGACCGTGACGGAAATGACGTCGGTGCCTTCTACTGAAGAGACGGTAAAGGAAACGACGACGTTCTCGACGGAGACGTTGGAAGTGGTGCCGGCACGTTCCATTGATACATTAAAGGATATTACAATGGAGACGACTGAGACAACGGAGACGTCTGAGATGTTGTCGGAGGAACCATCCACTCAGGAAATGGCAAATACCGAGGAGACCGCGACGGAGACGTCGGAGGTGGAGTATGAGGAGCCATCTACTCAGGATATGGCGAAGACCGAAGAGACCACAACGATAACGACCGTGACGGAAATGACGTCGGTGCCTTCTACTGAAGAGACGGTAAAGGAAACGACGACGTTCACGACGGAGACGTTGGAAGTGGTGCCGGCACGTTCCATTGATACATTGGAGGATATTACAATGGAGACGACTGAGACAACGGAGACGTCTGAGATGTTGTCGGAGGAACCATCTACTCAGGATATGGCGAAGACCGAAGAGACCACAACGATTACGACCGTGACAGAGACGACTTCGGTGCCTTCTACTGAAGAGACGGTAAAGGAAACGACGACGTTCACGACGGAGACGTTGGAAGTGGTGCCGGCACGTTCCATTGATACATTGGAGGATATTACAATGGAGACGACTGAGACAACGGAGACGTCTGAGATGTTGTCGGAGGAATCATCTACTCAGGTAATGGCGAAAACCGAGGAGACCACAACGATAACGACCGTGACGGAAATGACGTCGGTGCCTTCTACTGAAGAGACGGTAGAGGAAACGACGACGTTCACGACGGAGACGTTGGAAGTGGTGCCGGCACGTTCCATTGATACAGTTGGAGGATATTACAATGGAGACGACTGAGACAACGGAGACGTCTGAGATGTTGTCGGAGGAATCATCTACTCAGGTAATGGCAAAGACCGAGGAGACCACAACGATTACGACCGTGACAGAGACGACTTCGGTGCCTTCTACTGAAGAGACGGTAGAGGAAACGACGACGTTCACGACGGAGACGTTGGAAGTGGTGCCGGCACGTTCCATTGATAAATTGGAGGATATTACAATAGAGACGACTGAGACAACAGAGACGTCTGAGATGTTGTCGGAGGAACCATCTACTCAGGATATGGCGAAGACCGAAGAGACCACAACGATTACGACCGTGACGGAAATGACGTCGGTGCCTTCTACTGAAGAGACGGTAAAGGAAACGACGACGTTCACGACGGAGACGTTGGAAGTGGTGCCGGCACGTTCCATTGATAAATTGGAGGATATTACAATGGAGACGACTGAGACAACGGAGACGTCTGAGATGTTGTCGGGGGAACCATCCACTCAGGAAATGGCAAAGACCGAGGAGACCGCGACGGAGACGTCGGAGGTGGAGTATGAGGAATCATCTACTCAGGATATGGCGAAGACCGAAGAGACCACGACGATTACGACCGTGACGGAAATGACGTCGGTGCCTTCTACTGAAGAGACGGTAAAGGAAACGACGACGTTCACGACGGAGACGTTGGAAGTGGTGCCGGCACGTTCCATTGATACATTGGAGGATATTACAATAGAGACGACTGAGACAACGGAGACGTCTGAGATGTTGTCGGAGGAACCATCTACTCAGGATATGGCGAAGACCGAAGAGACCACAACGATTACGACCGTGACAGAGACGACTTCGGTGCCTTCTACTGAAGAGACGGTAGAGGAAACGACGACGTTCACGACGGAGACGTTGGAAGTGGTGCCGGCACGTTCCATTGATACATTGGAGGATATTACAATGGAGACGACTGAGACAACGGAGACGTCTGAGATGTTGTCGGAGGAACCATCTACCAGGATATGGCAAATACCGAGGAGACCGCGACGGAGACGTCGGAGGTGGAGTATGAGGAGCCATTTACTCAGGATATGGCGAAGACCGAAGAGACCACGACGATTACGACCGTGACGGAAATGACGTCGGTGCCTTCTACTGAAGAGACGGTAAAGGAAACGACGACGTTCACGACGGAGACGTTGGAAGTGGTGCCGGCACGTTCCATTGATACATTGGAGGATATTACAATGGAGACGACTGAGACAACGGAGACGTCTGAGATGTTGTCGGAGGAACCATCTACTCAGGATATGGCGAAGACCGAAGAGACCACAACGATTACGACCGTGACGGAGATGACTTCGGTGCCTTCTACTGAAGAGACGGTAGAGGAAACGACGACGTTCACGACGGAGACGTTGGAAGTGGTGCCGGCACGTTCCATTGATACATTGGAGGATATTACAATGGAGACGACTGAGACAACAGAGACGTCTGAGATGTTGTCGGAGGAACCATCTACTCAGGAAATGGCAAAAACCGAAGAGACCACAACGATAACGACCGTGACGGAAATGACGTCGGTGCCTTCTACTGAAGAGACGGTAAAGGAAACGACGACGTTCACGACGGAGACGTTGGAAGTGGTGCCGGCACGTTCCATTGATACATTAGAGGATATTACAATGGAGACGACTGAGACAACGGAGACGTCTGAGATGTTGTCGGAGGAACCATCTACCAGGATATGGCAAATACCGAGGAGACCGCGACGGAGACGTCGGAGGTGGAGTATGAGGAGCCATCTACTCAGGATATGGCGAAGACCGAAGAGACCACGACGATTACGACCGTGACGGAAATGACGTCGGTGCCTTCTACTGAAGAGACGGTAAAGGAACCCACGACGACGTTCACGACGGAGACGTTGGAAGTGGTGCCGGCACGTTCCATTGATACATTGGAGGATATTACAATGGAGACGACTGAGACAACGGAGACGTCTGAGATGTTGTCGGGGGAACCATCTACTCAGGAAATGGCAAATACCGAGGAGACCGCGACGGAGACGTCGGAGGTGGAGTATGAGGAGCCATCTACTCAGGATATGGCGAAGACCGAAGAGACCACAACGATTACGACCGTGACAGAGACGACTTCGGTGCCTTCTACTGAAGAGACGGTAGAGGAAACGACGACGTTCACGACGGAGACGTTGGAAGTGGTGCCGGCACGTTCCATTGATACATTGGAGGATATTACAATAGAGACGACTGAGACAACGGAGACGTCTGAGATGTTGTCGGAGGAACCATCCACTCAGGAAATGGCAAAAACCGGGCCGGGGGGGGGGGCGGGAAACCGAAGAGACCACGACGATTACGACCGTGACGGAAATGACGTCGGTGCCTTCTACTGAAGAGACGGTAAAGGAAACGACGACGTTCACGACGGAGACGTTGGAAGTGGTGCCGGCACGTTCCATTGATACATTGGAGGATATTACAATGGAGACGACTGAGACAACGGAGACGTCTGAGATGTTGTCGGGGGAACCATCTACTCAGGAAATGGCAAATACCGAGGAGACCGCGACGGAGACGTCGGAGGTGGAGTATGAGGAGCCATCTACTCAGGATATGGCGAAGACCGAAGAGACCACGACGATTACGACCGTGACGGAAATGACGTCGGTGCCTTCTACTGAAGAGACGGTAAAGGAAACGACGACGTTCACGACGGAGACGTTGGAAGTGGTGCCGGCACGTTCCATTGATAAATTGGAGGATATTACAATGGAGACGACTGAGACAACGGAGACGTCTGAAATGTTGTCGGAGGAATCATCTACCGAGGATATGGCAAATACCGAGGAGACCGCGACGGAGACGTCGGAGGTGGAGTATGAGGAGCCATCTACTCAGGATATGGCGAAGACCGAAGAGACCACGACGATTACGACCGTGACGGAAATGACGTCGGTGCCTTCTACTGAAGAGACGGTAAAGGAACACGACGACGTTCACGACGGAGACGTTGGAAGTGGTGCCGGCACGTTCCATTGATACATTGGAGGATATTACAATGGAGACGACTGAGACAACGGAGACGTCTGAGAGGTTGTCGGGGGAACCATCCACTCAGGAAATGGCAAAAACCGAGGAGACCGCGACGGAGACGTCGGAGGTGGAGTATGAGGAGCCATTTACTCAGGATATGGCGAAGACCGAAGAGACCACGACGATTACGACCGTGACGGAAATGACGTCGGTGCCTTCTACTGAAGAGACGGTAAAGGAAACGACGACGTTCACGACGGAGACGTTGGAAGTGGTGCCGGCACGTTCCATTGATAAATTGGAGGATATTACAATGGAGACGACTGAGACAACGGAGACGTCTGAAATGTTGTCGGAGGAATCATCTACCGAGGATATGGCAAATACCGAGGAGACCGCGACGGAGACGTCGGAGGTGGAGTATGAGGAGCCATCTACTCAGGATATGGCGAAGACCGAAGAGACCACGACGATTACGACCGTGACGGAAATGACGTCGGTGCCTTCTACTGAAGAGACGGTAAAGGAAACGACGACGTTCACGACGGAGACGTTGGAAGTGGTGCCGGCACGTTCCATTGATACATTGGAGGATATTACAATGGAGACGACTGAGACAACGGAGATGTTTGAGATGTTGTCGGAGGAATCATCTACCGAGGATTTGGCGAAGACCGAGGAGACCACGTCGCCTTACATCAGCGAGATGGAGGAGGTCATAACGAAGGCGCCGGAGGAAACGGAGTCATCGGAGGTGGTGTCTGACTTGCCGTTTATCCAGGAGATGGAAGTCGAGACCGAAGAGGTCACAATGCAAACGACCGTGACAACAGATGTAACGTCGGTGCTTTCCATTGAAGCGTCGAAGGAGATCACGACGAAGACGTCGGACATGGAAGGTAGCAGCCCTTTAATGACGTCCGGAATAATGGCCTCTTTAATGGATTCTTCCGCCGAATTAACTCCTGACACTCCACTTATGAGTAGAATGTTATTCACGGTGGATCCACAAGCGAGTATCGTAATTGACGCGCCGAAGATTGGTTTCGCCAAGAAAACGATGAAGAAGGTCAAAGAGATTTTGAAGAAGGAAAAGGATGTTATAGCTGTGACGACGCATTCGTCCCATGAGACACGAAGTGTGCGTGCTGCTGCTGCATGGGGGGAAGAGGTCGGAAGCTATAATGCAGAATCTGCGCACATGAGGGATTTCAACCAAGCTTTGTTGTTACGTCGTGAGCAATCGCTGAGATTAGCTTTCGACAACATCACGTGTGCTGATCAAGTGAGTGAGAGCTCCAAGGAGCTAACGAATGTGGTGAAAAGTGTTACCGGCTATGCTGACCCAGGCACGTTAAATGCGATAGTTGGAGCGGGCCGAGCCGGCAAGTCCGCCTTCCTAAGCGCCCTGGCAGGTGAAAAGGATCCAACGATGGGCAGCATTTTCTACAACGGGAACGAAGTTAGTGCTGTGGTGCGGCGTCGTGCCACAGGCTTCTGTTGGTTTGGTGATGAGCATGTAGTTTGGCATGGAACGACCACAGTTCGTGAAGCTTTGTGCTTCAGTGCCTACCTCCGCCAAGGCGACGATGTTCCTGAAACTCGTAGGCTCGAAACGATTGAATCTTGTCTCGAGCTCGTGGGACTCACAGATCTGGCCGGACAGTACATAAGTTCATGCTCTACAGTGGAGACTCGCCTCGTCGCAATTGGGGTGGAGCTTGCATTCGCTCCAAGCATACTTCTTCTGGATGAGCCTACGAGCGGCCTCGACGCGGATAGTGCGCAAAGAATTATTTGCGTATTGGAACAAGTGGCCCGTACTGGCCGCACAGTCGTGTGCAGCATAGCTGATTCGTCACCTACCACCGAGTTGCGCGCATTCGATCGACTAGTCTTGCTGTCAAGAGGTGGTGAGACAATTTACCATGGTGAAACTCACCGAATGGTGCAATATTTGGAAGCTCTTCCTGGCGTGAAGGGGTTAAGCAGTGGCAAGAGCATTACTGCATGGGCACTCGAAAGTGTGGGCGTAAGATCCACAATCTCTCTCGCGGCTCGCACGAACACGAAGAAGAAAAAGCATCGGCGTGCTGGCTCAATGTTAAGTACTTCAGATATTGTTAACTGTGAGAAGGAGACCCGGTTTGTGCAGTTGTTCCAACGCAGTGAAGTTAAGCGAAAGCTGCTTACACAAATGCAGCGTGCGGGCTATCTGCATCCAGACTCGAAAGAGCAGCACGCACTAATTACAGCTTACAGAAGCGGAAACCTGCGGGTGCAGGCGTCTTCGTGGGATACGCAGATGAAGTGGCTTGTCCGACGCGTTATACTCTCCTACTCACGCAGCTTGTGTTCGATTTGCTCGGTGACAATGACATTAGCAACGACCATGAAGTGGCAACTCCTTGGAGTAGTAGGAGTACTCATGGCGACCTTGATGTGGTTCGTCTGGGTCCGCATTGCAACGAGGAGCACGGAGTATGACACTTTCGATGGAGTAAATTACGGTGCATCACTAATTGCATGGTCGACTCTAGTACTAGGAGCTAGCTTCGTGCTCGGCGCAATCGCCAGGTCTGGTCACGGAAATGCTTGGAGGGAGAATGCGTGCTGGCGTCGTGAGCAGGCTTGGCAAGCGTATCCTGCAGTGGCTTACCACTTCTGTTCCAGCGTTGTGGAGCTGGTATTTGTGCTTGGGATCACGCTTGTAGCTGCAATGCTTACATTCACCCTGTTCGGATTTTGGTCAATTACCAAGAGCGGCAACTTTGCCCTCTACTGGTTCACTCTCGCAATCTTCGCTCTAGGACAGGTGTACCTAGCCCAGTGGCTTGTGCGGTTGGTACCACGTGAAAGCATTGCTGCAGTTGCAGGCACTGGCGTCAATCTGCTTCCGCTGCTGTCATTCGTGTGGTCTTGGAGGAGTAGTGCTGTGAGCAGACTGATGTCTTTGTTAGTGTCTTTGACGCCTCAACACTATGCACTTCAGGTACTGCAAGCACTCGTATTTGATGCTGCCGCCGACTCGTGCGTCTATGATGGTGGTGGCATTCAAGCTGAAAGTGAGCTGCCATGTCGCGATTTACGGTTGATTCCATCGGATGAACGCTACTTCAATAAGGATTTCTTGTACGCGGAGATCAAGTACAGTGTCGAACGCGGCAGCGTGGCTCTTCGTCTTTTTAAGCTGGGAGTGTTTCTGGCGATGTTCCGCTTCCTCGCGATCGTTGCCCTAAAGAAGCGGCAAACCCCTTCATGATATACAGATGCTAATAAGCAGAAGTGAATATTGCAGTTGATGTTCTGGGTAAATGATATAATTATGTTGTTGCGTACGAAGCTTGCCTTGTACACGCTTACTGTGCGTCGCATAATGTGAGAGAAGAATGGAACCAGCTTTTAAAGGCTGTCGAACCGGTGTTATTCTGGCAGCAAATATTGAGTTTACGCTCGTGTCCTTGCTCACAGCCATCGAACCATCAGTGATGCGTTCTCGAGCTTACCCTCTTCAATGGATAACGTATCATTGTAGGCCACCGCGCTGAGTGGGAACGCAGTGCGCAGTTCAAATGCACGTCCTCGAGCCTCCGGGACCTTGTTCTTCACAAACGACCACACCATAGCTAGTGGATCGGTCTTCAGGAAGCGCCGCGTTAAGCGAGAACCATCGGGCACACGGATCTGTACTCGGGTAACGTTGGGCGATCCAGCTTGACCCAAACAAACAACAGCAGATAGTCAGATAGTGAACTAGGATAGGTGTGGAAGAGTTGGACATGCAATTACCATCGGGCTCTGGGGTTAAGGCCACAACCGGCTCCTGTATCGTCTCCTCTTCATGTTTTTTTTCATGGTCTAAGGCGTCTGCCGTTTGCTTCATTTCGCCTTCGTCACTGTCGCCGTTATTACCCTGCATCGACGCAGCGATTGCAGCAGCCAGTTGATCATCTTCTGATGCATCCATGATGTTAGTATCAACCTCCTGCAGTGAATCAAGAAAAGGTTTAGTGCACTCTTCTTTAATAGGTACACAGCCACTTCGATCCGGCACCTTCTTTTCTTCACTCGGCGGCACATTAAGCGTTTGCATACAGCAGAAATCCGACACTGCCGCAAAAAGACACATAACCAAGTCAAACTGAAGACAAGTAGCTGGTTTGCTCCCAGCATTTTCGTTGCCGTACATTTTTCAGTCATGTCCTGCGGCTCAAGAAACCCCGTCCATCGCTGTCGGATTTCTCCTGTCCGCGGGTGAATGACCACGACAGTCGGAAGCGAGTCACGATCAATCTGGTAGAGGCTACAAAACTTTTTGCCATGGTCCGACGCCCAGTAGTTCTGTGCAACAACAGCAGCATTGGCATAAGTTTGTAAGCACCAGTATCACGACTTTGTGAGACCCCTCTGCATCCCGCTGACGAGATCTAAAGAACGAAGTTACATGATGTACCTGCCAGAACACAAAGCCGCTTGCCACAAGATTTTGCACCACGTCGTCACTCCACGTGTCACGATTAAGCATGTGGCTTGCGAAGACGATCTCGTCCTGGATGTTCACCATGAGCCACTTTCCCTCGTTCTTTGCATGAGTACGAGCCTACAGTCACCACGACAGAACCGCAACATCAGCATTCGGATCGTGCGATACTGACAATAACTATCAAACGGACAAAAGCACGCACATCGGCGTAAGTCCCCTGAAACATGATAGCCGTCGGTGGCTGAAACAGCGTGCTCAAGTCACGTGTGCGCTCGGCACCGTCTGCATTGTGTGAGCTGTTCGTAGCTTCTCCAAATGCCACTGCGCCGGGGTCTCCAAAGGCCGTCGAAATGCTGCTACCAGTCAATGCCGCGATGCTCTCAGCCGCAAAGTCGCGATTCTGGTCGCGCACGTGGCGCATCGGTCGCACTGCATCCAACCACGGCAACAAACACCAACATGAGTCCTTCTTGTTCTATCAGTCAGCGTCGTCTGCTGTACGCACACAGGTTCATCTCCGCGCCCACGAGACGCTGTCGCTTGGACGGATCAGGCGCGCGAACAGCATTCTCACTGCATCGCACCAAAAATAACATCAGCAACTTGATAGTCAGCTGAGACAGCTCAATGCCTCCATAGACAGGGACGCACTCTTCTCCGTAGGCTGCTGCAATGGCAGCAGCTGTAGCTGCGTCCATGTCCGATATCGGGGCTGAAGGAGGACTGAAAGTAGCGCTGGGACTTGGTGCAGCTTGATGCGGAGCTGCAAACGCCATTGAAGCGCTCTGACCCCCGCTCTCCATGTACAGATTGACCTGGAATAACCATGGATTTTTATTAGCACAAAGGGAATTGGAAGCACACAAATACGACAGGATAAAGCTCTACAAACCGCTTCATCTAGCTGCCAATTGGTGAGCTATCATTTTGACGTTATAACAATGTTAAAACAAGGATTAAATAAGAGAATATAAAGTGGGATATAATAGTAAAAACCTCTAGGAACTGCAATGCGCTACCAGAGTCGGCACCGGTGATGTTCATGAACCTGCAGCACATAGTAAAAAGACGATATTTAGAGAGAGAGAGAGCATCGTAAAGAGTAAAAAAGATGACGCAACGAGGCCAATGCTTCTTGCGAGTCACGAGCGTCTGCCATTTTTGCTATTGGGATAAGGATTTTATTACGACGACCAGGTAATAACTAATCTTCTTTGTGAAGGGGTACTAAAATCTAGATGTTAGTGTACCCCCGTTTTAGCTAAAACATAGCTTGTAGTAATAACGGGTATACAGACTCTGATTTACAGCGATGACGTGATACGATCGAAAATTAAATATTAATTTTGACAAGAACATCATTTTAGTGAATATGTTTATGTATCTTAAAAGTGTATGTATGTAAACGCGTTACGCGGCCCAAAGTGGCCCAAAATGACTCAACTTCCGCATGCGTCGGATTATTGCTCATTCTCTACATTTCTCTCTACTCTCGCTCGCCGATTGCGGCGTCCAGCTTCACAAACAAACCTTATCAGAATGTGATTCCATCCGTTTCGATTTGGACCGAAGCTGCATGTCAGGGATCAGTCTGGCTGACCCGTCTGGGATAGCCGGTTTAGCACCCAGCCTCATTTTCAAGGCGTCACCTGCTTCCTGCATGTGCTCAGGTTTGGTCAGACGGTCCCATAAGGTAGATCAGGCTTGATGGAGAGAGTTGACGCGGCAGTCATGGCGGACATTGCAAGACTGACCACTAGCATCGTATGGGCCATTATACCCGTACATGTAAAGCAAGATGCTACGACGGCGTTCGCCTTCCTGAACAAATGCAACTAGCAAAAGTTGCTTTAGCCATTGTCCTGTATCAATCTTACAATATCAGGTGTCTGCTTCGAGCAACAGTGTACGAGCACTCACGTTCCATTAGCATTCCGTCCAAGACTAATGGACACACATGCTTAACACATTTGCACCTTTTTGTGCGTGCTCATTCTGCTGATTCCACCTCATGGGCTACATGAGAGATACTCCAAAAGGGCACGTCATGGCTGGAGTTTAGAGTCTCGGTGTCATACTACTGCCCTCTTTGTCATCCTCAATGATTTGAGTTTTCTGCTTCGTACATTGTGACGCGCTTGAACTTGAGTCCCTTATCCTCTCAAACGGAATGTAGATCCTGTCACAAACAGCTGGTTGATGTTGCAGTGTGGCCGGAGGGATGACTTGCCCCATCCATAATCGACTCCACTGCCATCCGATCTCACTTCACTTTGGAATTTTCCCTCTCCCCCTCAAGACTCGAATTTCCTCCCCAGTCTTTATTAAAAATGACCCGTTTTGCTGGTGTTGAAGTTGGTGGCACGACGTGGATGGCGGCCATTGCCGAGGACCACCCAGAAAACATTCTGGAAAAATTTGAAGTCGATACGACGACACCCGATGAAACCATGGGCGCTGTGGTTGACTGGCTCAAGGCGCGTACATTTGACTCGATTGGTATTGCCTCATTTGGTCCCGTTGATTTAAACAAAAAGTCACCAACGTATGGCTACATTACAAGTACACCCAAACCCAATTGGGGCAACACGGACGTTGTAGGCGTGTTCAAGCGGGAATTTCCCGGCGTGCCCATTGGATTTGACACGGACGTGAATGCTCCGGCGCTGTACGAGGTCGCGTACGGTGGCCATGGCGATATCAGCAGTGCCGTGTACATTACAGTGGGCACGGGTGTCGGTGTCGGTGTGTGCACGAACGGCAACGCCATCCACGGCTTCATGCATCCGGAAGGTGGCCACATTATGGTTCCGCCTGCCCCGCAGGACATTGAGGCGGACTTTAAGGGCGTGTGTCCGTTCCATGGCAACTGTGTCGAAGGAATGGTGGCTGCAGGCTCCATCGCTGCGCGTACGGGCGTGGACCGTCGTGACCTCGCTAACATCTCGGACGATGACCCAGTGTGGGACACGATTGCGCATTACCTGGCCAACCTTTGCGTCAATGTGACGTTTCTCACGTCTCCGGACGTGATTGTGATTGGTGGCGGGATTGCTCGTCGCGAAAAGCTCTTTGATTTGATCCGTGAAAAGTTTATCGCGCGTGTAAACAAGTATGGACAGCAGCCGCCTGTGGAGAAGTACATTCGAGCGTCGTTCCATGCGTCCATTGGTCTCGTGAGCTCGCTGCATTTGGCCCGTCTAGAGCTGGAGCAGAAGTAACGATGAGAAGCAGCTCTGCCGTGTCGCGTCCAGGTCCTCCTCGCTGGAGCAGAAGTAACGATGAGAAGCAGTCTCTGCCGTGTCGCGTCCAGGTCCTCCTCGTATTCGAAGTAGAAGGTAGTCAGATAGAAGCGAGGAGGGCAATAGTCCTGTACAAATCTGTAGTTGGTCGCGCTTTTGGTCTAATTACATGACGTGTGTTGTGTATCAAAATGACGTCTTCACCAATTCCCAAGCAGTACGAGTGATGGTATCGTTCGAGAGCGTTCTCATGTCCACTTCGCGCCGGCGCTGTGGGAGCATATCCTTGCTACAGAGTACTGTAGCAGCATTACTCCAGCGCTTAAAAATGTGGTACCGTGATGCAAGAGAATGCTCGAGCTACTCGATTAACGCGCTACTTGTCAGCCATCACTCCGCGTGTTTTGCTGGTATGACGCCATCAGGACCTATTGATCGATCTCGCTTGCATTCGCAACTTTTTCCACGCTTGATTTCTCTGCAAACCTTTAGACCGCATCCTTTTTGAGCGTCCTGTTGGTGACGTCGTAATGGCTTCTTACTACTTGTAATTGACTCGGCGCTGGAGCTTACAGAGGTCTGTAAACATGACCATTAGTATCTGGACAATCGTTATTGGACTGTTAGCCTACAAACACTCGGATGTCCGTATGAATGTTTCTGCATTGCTTGGGGTATGTCGGAAGCTTTGCTTTCAGTAAGGAAAGGGTTTCTTTGGATGTACCACCAACACTTTGACACGGCACATCTAGCATCAGCAAGCAACCCCATAGAAACTACAACAATGCCAACTACGTCTGCACACTCAAGCGTCGTCTAGTCGACAGGCATGAAAGCAGAACTGCAAGAAAGTGGGGTCAGAGCAGAGCAATTCCAAACCAACGAGCGACATTATTTGCCTTCTTCTAATCACTGGCCGTCTCCACTCGCCTTCTTGGGCGTAACCACTCACTAGCTTACAGCTTCAAAAAGCGCAGGACCTCCTTGTCGAAGCACGACTTGAGCAGCGTATCGCCGTTGATGATCTTTGTCGTTGCCACAACAATGTCGTATGGGCCTTTTCATACAAAAACACAACAAACAACGTGAGAAACAAGGTATTGGCTCATGGCGACTGAATTGCAGACAACTTACAGTCGGGCTGGCGAGACACGTGACGCAGAGCTGCGATCTCCATAAAGGTTACACCACCCAGATAGTACACGAGCAGCACTTTGCGCTCCTCGGTACCAAAATTATCCAGATTAGAAGCGGCAGCAGAAGCAGCGGGATCGTCACCTGAACGTTTACCGGTCGTCTGCGTAACCTCTCCTGAGGCCCCCGGAAGCTGACGCAATCCTTCCTGCACAGCGCTCCAACCACGGGGCTTGATAGCGCTTTCTACAATGCGTACAGACAGCGGAGCATAACCAGCAGCGTGGCTGCGACTGACATAAGCGCAGTCGCGCGGGTTGCGAGGATCCACGTCATCATTGAGCAACCGGAAGGATTTACGAGCGAGACCAAAGCCTCTAGCATCGCTCCATAGGGTATCACGCTTACAAAGTAGCCCAGCCTTTTCCAGGTTAGTCAGTGCCAGCATCATCTCGAAGCCGTACGTCTGCACGAGCTCTCGACTGAGATGTATGTAGTTTTTTGTCTTGACACCACCTGCAGCCACAGATTGCAGACAGAAGTGACGCAAGACGCCAAGCAGCGGCTCTTGAAAACCAATACGCTCCTCGAGCTGCTCGAAGATCGTCTCACCGGTAAGAACCAGGTTCTCTGCGTCCTTGAGATCACGGAATCTCTTCGAGTCTGTGGTCTTCTTGATGAGCTCGGCCAGGTTAATGTGTTGCTGCAGTGATTGATAGTTTTGCTTGAGACCTGGGATACGCTTGACAAACTCTCGAATCTCGCTGATCGAGGCATCTCGATTCTTACGGAACTCGTCGTACCGCTCGCGAATCTCCCGCGCCTGCTGCTGCAGGTTCATGCCAAGTCGCTCAACATGGTAGTCGCGCACTTCTGCGTACAACTTATCGTTCGAATTGAGCGGCACTGACACTTGAGCGGGTCGGTTGGTGTTTCCCGAGTTGGGTCCGTCATCGTCTGCAATGAGCTCGGAGTCCACCGTAACGAACCCATGTGTAATGCCCAGAATCTCGTCCAGCAGTCCTTCGTACGTCATAGGGCTACACATGGGCGTGACAAGATCCACGTTGCGATCAATCAGAACAAGTGTGTCAATCTCTGGGTCCAAAACACCAATGGGGTTACCTGCCACCTCTTGCTCACGACGAAAGTGCGCCATCATCTGATAAATGATTTTTGCCATCGTGCCTTTGTACTTGACATGTGGGATCATACCAAACACGGTCTGAAGTTTAATGAGGGAAGCTGCAACAGTGTGAAGATTACTCTTGTCTCCGTCCACGTAAAACTCTTTAAAACACGAATCCAGCTCCAGTGTCAACACGTCATCATCAAAAGGAATGAGGTCTAATTTGTATTCCCCAACACTCACACTCCCAAAGACGCCTTCTTTCTTCAGTACCTCATCACATACGAGTGTACGACGACTAACATAATACAAATGAAAACGTTTCTTGGACGATGACGATGACGATGACTTGTCTGCTCCTAAATCACGAATGTACTTGGCTACATAACGTACTGCACGTACAGATGGTCGAACAAGAAACAGTACAGACTCACAGGAAGTCTTGACTGTCTTTCCAAATGCATGAAAATCTTTAACCCCGTGGTCTTTAAGCACTGCTGTTCCGTCTACGAGTACGTGATTTAGTGGCCCATTTAACTCGGGATCTAATACAAAACAAATGTCTTTTCCAACTGAATCTAAGATTGAAAACAATTCACGTCGAGAATCCTCACGTAATACCGCTAGATTTAAGACTCCATTTTCAAGGGTACATGCTTTCGACATGATCGGCTCTTTCTTCGTTATGTCTGTAAATCAGGGTATGTAGTTGAGTGGGTAAATAAGAGTATATAGTTGGGTTGATAATTCAGGGTCTTGCTATAATTCATGTACTCTTAAATAAGAGAGGCATTGATCCTTTTTAGAGAATACCCTTATATACGACTCCTTCACGACCATGAGAGGTCGATTTCAGGTGACTCGACGTCGAGCGTTGCCAGTGACAAGACGACTGGCACCACATGGCTCTACTATCAATACAAAGGATGAAATGTTGACACGTGAGTTTATCTACACATCATTGTATGCCAAGGAGGCTGGTTACTTTACAACAGAGCGACGTAAAGTATTGCATACACCAACTCAAAGTATCAACTTTGGCAACTTATGGGGCGCTCAGGAGTACCGTAATTTAGTAGCACATCTATACAAAGAGAGCACGGAGGCCTGGCTTACACCTGTAGAAGTGTTTGCACCGTATTACTCACAAGCACTGGCTCGCTACATGCTTCACTCGCCCTTTTTCCGGCAAGAACTTGAGATTTTTGAAATTGGTGGTGGTTCTGGATCAAATGCGCTGCATATTCTTGACTTTTTGAAGGAGCAAGTACCTGATGTCTATGCCAAGACCAAGTATACTTTGATTGAGATCAGTCCTGTGATGGCTGAGCGACAGAGGAGACGCGTAGCTGCTGCTCATCCGCAGCAGTGCACGGTTCTTAACCAGGACATTTTGACCTTTGCAGATACACATGAGCCAGTGAATACACAATGCTTCTTTCTAGCACTAGAAGTACTGGATAATCTACCACATGACAAGGTGACGCTGCAGAATGGCAAGTGGTACGAGACCGTCGTTAAGATGCAGCAGACCAGTGAGACAACTGAGAAGCCGGTGCTGCAGGAGGCCATGCGGCCAGTGCAGGACAAGCTGATTCGTCAGACACTCCACCACTTTAGCTGTGAACTGCCACTACAGGTATCGTACAAATACAATGGCAGTCTGGCGCAGCGAGTGCGACGGATGCTGAACAAAGACGACCCCGTGCTGAACTCGGCTTTCATCCCTACGGGCGCGATGCAGCTGCTAAATACCCTTCGTACGGCATTCCCAAAACATCATTTGATTGCTGCTGATTTCGACTCGCTTCCGGGACCGAACCTGGATGATAAGTCGCCGATCAAGGCGATCGAGCACGGGTTGAGCCCCACAGCGACATCGTCAGGGACGCTTTTTGCTGGTAATGCACCACTCGTTGCGTCCAAAGTCACAAGTAAGTGCAGCAAACATTACGTCTGCAATATCGATTGAGGCTCATGGATCTTTTGCTTGTAGATGTGACGAAGGACCACGACACGTACCTAGTGCAAGGGGGAATTGCCGACATTTTTTTTGCCACGGACTTTAATCGACTCAAGAAAGCGTATTGCTCCACACTACAGCGTCAGCCTCATGAGGTATGATCAACACCACGATCATAGAGCACCAAAAAGAACTGAAGAACTGACAGCTTTTGCCTACCTTGTGCCTGCAGATTTCCGTCATCAAGTCGTCAGAGTTTATGAAAGAGTTTGCTGATGTACAAAAAACTAAGACGATCACTCGGTACGTGATTGCAAAGCATGCCGTAGCATGGTGGGTATCGCTCGGCCAGCGCAACAGTTGACTGATGAACTGCTTTTGTTACGATGTATAGATACAACCCAATGCTAGAGGACTACTCCAACACGAGCTTTATCTTGTCTTAAACCACTTGCAAATGCTGGTTCCCGATGGTTCACTAAAAGCATTTTGCTAATAACTTGATGCAGATACACATCTCTCGAATTCTGTATCAATTCAAAATATTAATCATTAACGTTTGCCAGCTCGACGTCGGAAGAGCTTGGAGTGGAAATCCGGCCCAATTTTCTTTTGCTTAGCAGCGTCTTTGGCTTGCTGGTCGCACCTGGGGCACATTACGTAGGTTGAAGTGGGAATGTCTTTTGTCGCGCGGCCAAGCTTTTTGACATCTTTCGGCAAGTGGCCCTGATACATAACACGCAGAATGGAAGTTAATAAATACTGCACAGGCTTCAAGCGTGAATGTCGACTGTGAAGGGGCAGCCAAACATTGCAAAGCTTGCATACCTTGCAATATGATGTGACGCAGAAACGGCAAGAATACTGAGCAATGATGCCGCAGTCCTGGCAGCGATGACGCGGGCATACCCAAGTCTTGCCCTCTGGCACTTTATAACCCAAGCAGTCTACAATCGCGTTTTACAACAGTAAGTCAGCGAGAGATCTTTACTAACTAGGACGTAATTCTTTTGGGATGATCGCTTACCTTCATGGTACACTTTTGGACAGCGCTTAAAAGTGCCTTTGGTCCCATTCCAATCACATTCGATCAAATCTCCGCCATCCTTACAGCAAAAGCACACATCTTCTGATTCCTCGAACTCATCCTTTCTCTCACGCTTCAACAAGAACTTGAAATATGTCGCGGCATAATCAATCAGTTTCATCTCTGAGGCTGAGCTAACTGATATAAGAGCTTTTGATAGCCCGTCTTCATCTGCGGTGCTGTTTTCTTCCATTTCTTTGTGTCGCTTACGCTTCTTCTGCTTAGGTGCTGGACCTGCTGCGACAATCTCCACTGACACATATCCAGCTCCATTTTCCTTCTCAGGGCACCCGGCAGGAACACTGTCATCGTCTGTGGAGCAGTTTGGGCACAGCCAGTTCTTGGTCCGCCACACTTTGTGTGCCCGCGCCTTGCCGATCAGCTTGTCAATACAGGGTATGCAGTACACACGCGGACAAACTTCGTGTGCGCAGACCTTGACCGACTTTTCAGACACCTTTTCCATCGATTGAGCGCATAGCCCACAGATGTTGTCTCGAGCGCCCTTCTTTGCACTAGCCTGCATTGCCACATGCTGTTTTAGCACCCGCTGCAAGCACACCTTGCAGATATGAACCATTTCACCCTTGCCATCCTATTCAGCAACAACCAGTACAAAGTTAACATCCAGTAGTAAGAGCCGTATTTTCAACACACATACCTTGAGTACGAACGGGTGTTTCGGATACTCCGGCGCGTCAGGCTTCTTCTGTATGCGACACAATACACACAGCATTTTACTGGGCGGTGTCACAAGTACACCCTTTGCCTCGACTTTGGCTTTCATCTGTGTCGGCACCACTTGCTGCTTTTCCTTCTTCTTTTTCTCTTTCTCCTCCCTCTTCTTCTCTTTTTCCTCCTTTTTTGTCGTCGGAAGCAGCTTACGTCGTTTCTGGGTCTCGTTTGCTGCATTTTGTAGCCTCACGTCCTCTTTTGCTTTTTTCTTCTTGTACTCGTGACTAATCTCCATCTCCATCTTCACAGAACTATGCAGTAGCATATACTGTTGCATGCGTGTAAAAGCCTCCAATGTTTGCGCAAACATTTCATACTCAAAGTCCGATCGAAAGTGAAAGCAATAGCAAATTCTCGTCGACAAAAATTCGACGTTTTCCGTCACTTCTTGAAACTCATTTGTTTGAACAGCTGATGCCTTCAAAACGTCAATCCCGCTCTTCATAGGTCCATTATCTACTGTACAAGCGTCTGATGATCCAAATGAAGCTGTTGTGCCCCATAAAACCGACTTTTCTTGCTTCAAAAGTGTCATTCTTGCTAATTGTGTCACTTGAAGTAATTTACGACTGACAGCATCGACAATTACAAACTGGTGGTGACTTGACGTGGTCAAGCATGTCGCATATCTGGACATAGAATGTTGAGATAATATCAACTCAGCAGTAGGTGCTACGACATGAAACAGATTTGCCTCATTCTTGGACTCGAGAAGCTGCAACAAGACACCTTGGAAGGCCATGACTTATTTCTTGGTCTAAAGACCTGTAAATGTAAATGTCATTAAAAAGAGGTTGACAAACGGCGAAATATTTGCGAAATTTAAAGTTAAGCAAAAAAATTGTGTATAGCTATAAAGATTTGAGGTATATTTTAGGCCATGCGTCAAAGTCGGTCGCATTGAGGGGTTCCAGCAGGCGCTGCAGAAGTGCTCGCAGTGCCACAGACTCTATTGACACATAAGCATCCAAAACGAACAAAAAGTGCATGGGTAATGCGCAATCGAGTCGAAGTACAGTTCGAAACAAAGGAATGCGACATGCACACTGTAATGTAACTGCATTGCTGGGACTGAGACGTGAACGCTATCATCATCATGTTTGAGCTGGTCAAGCTGAAGTGCTGAGGTGTAGGCGGCTAAAGGCAACCACAAAAACATAGACACAAGAGACATGACGAGAAGATATTCTCCACTCAAGGGCGCAACCTGGTGGATATTGGAGGACAGGGGGAAATGCCCAACGCAATGCACAAGGGTCTTCAATGTTCTGCATTAGATGTTGGCACGAGTAGATAATGGTTACTGCAGAGCGGGGGTCTTGCTGCAGCCACCATTGATATCGTCCAAACTCGTTTCGATCCCGACATCTATTTCTTGTCGAATTGACCACGGTCATTTTTCCATAGCAACAAGAGGTTGTGGGAGCCTCACTGTCACCTGTTTTGACTGCTCATTTCGAGCATTGGGATCCAAATGCACAATTAAATTGATGTACGCATTTCGATCATCGCCAATGCGGTGTTCACAGTGCCCTGATGCGATTTTGTAAAAGTTGTCGCGATGCAGTAGCATGTACGCAACACGTAAAAGTTGCAGTGCTTCCTTCTGTCAATCAAGAGAAATTAGTATAGAAGAGATAGCAGAGCCCCCTTTGCAACGCACCTCAAGGCACAAACCAGCGGTAAAGATGTCAAGGCCCAGCAAGAGACCCGTCCCAAAGTCGCACTCATCACTGGCAATCGTAGCGCGTGTGATCAGGTCACACAGCATCTTTCGCGCCGGCGTTTTCTTGCTAGCATCTTGCTTCAGTTGATCAAGCAGGTCTGCAAGGTCTTTTCCAGTGGTAGGCAGTTCACGGTAACCTGTGTTCCTCTTGATGTCCATTGGAACCACAATGCCAAGTTGATGCAGCGACGCAGCAACGCTTTCCTTCGCTCTTCTAGTCCGAAGTGCTGCCTCTGATTGTCCTCCAGTACACGCTTTCTCGTCGCAGTAAGCCTTGATTTTCTCGAGTAGACCAGCTGCACCGCCAGTCCCGAGAGCCGATCGACGTTTTTCCAATCTACTCTTCAGTACGTGAAAAAGACTTGTGCTGACGATGTTAAACTTGCACTCCCGACTGGTCGCAGCACACACAACATACTCTGGTACTTGATCAGGTGCATCTCTGCAAGCAGCAGGAAAGAACAACTCAATCAAGTCGCTACCAACTACTGGTAAAACACGTTAATTTTACCTAAAGTACCCCCAGTGTCGACCCACCTCACTGTCAATATCCATCATGACAGTAACAATCTCTGGAGGATCAAAGAAGAAGCGTCCATGTAGATACAGAGGTTTGTCAATTGTCACCTCCTTCTGATCGAATGCTGCCAATAAATCAAATGGTCCACAGAGCTGAATCCCCAGCGTTTCTCTAAAAGCTTCTATACACTTGATCAAAAAGGTATCAGATCGCTGCTATTACAAGGCTGTGAAAATGTCGTACCGCATGGACATTCGGGTCGTAGGTTTAATGCCAGTGCAAAGACGTCAAAGAAATCACTAGGAGCTTTGAAACAACACTTATTTGCTAGAAATCCATTCCACGACTGTCGCTGGAGAGTATCAAAAGCTGTTGTTTGCTTCGGTTCTTTATTTTCAATCAATTTGTGCCGCTTGATGGAAGGGGTATCGAGGGCATTTTCGTGACTGCGCAGGCGACGTGAGCGACGCATTTTGTGGCAAAATGTGATAAGGAGACACTTTTTGTGCATGAAACGAACCCATGATGCAAATCTGGCAACGACATATAAAGTTAATTAGGGTCTTACTAGAATGGCTGACTAGAAGAAAAAAAACTAGTACAAATTGGTTGGTCCCCATGTGATAAACTAACACAAACCTTTTAAGCTCACCATAAAATAATACTTCAAATAGAGAAAACATCACTTCGACAAACATCACATCGTCTAACCAGCCCCCACTATTCAGCAATGTCAATTAAAACTTCTGAGAAGGCTCATCCATCAGGTACCCAGTCGTTGAGATCCATGTGGCAGCAGAGTTCATGCAAAAACGAACGCATCCATTTGTGGCTCTTACCGCGTGAGTTTACAAAGTTACTTAAAACAACTTCACGCTGAGCCAGAGGACGGAGGAAATCACGGAACGCAGGCTTCATATCCATTTGTTTGCTCTTTGCCAACATTGTTTCACCATTATAGACGTGACATGCAACAGTCGACAGTATCGGCAGCTTTCGATCAAGTCCGTATCCAAGTGTCAGATGGGTGTCTTGGAACTTGGTGTCTTTACCATCACGAGCAAGGCTTTCAAATGCGAACGCCAGATTCATAAAACTAAAGCTGCACGCTGTTGGTCTGCCCCCCGTCGACCAAAGCAGCTCCAGTATATGATCAGCTTCACACTCCGATACCAGCAGAATCTGGTCATTCTTAAACACCAACACAACATCAATCACACGCAGAAACGCATTCATACGGCTCGAGTCTGTCCGAGCCTCAATTGTACTGAAGAAATTCTCAGTACCAAAGATTTGCGCGTTAGTCCACGCCAGACTTGCCAGCTCTTTCGGAGAGATCGACTGGCGTATAAACTCCGTTAGTTCCAACACTTGCACATCACCATTGAGGTCTTCGATTGTCTTGGCACGTAGGATATTCGCGTACCTCCACACCTTCTCCTTTCTGGGCAAACACGTTAAGACTTCTACTTCTTGCTCCTGTTGCACCTCTTCCTCCACCTGCAGCTCTCGCTCGCATTCATCAGTGTGCGAGGTACAACACACTTCATTGTCAACACCGTATACAAATCCTTTGCGGCAGATTTTATCAACCAAAGCATCCGCAGAGTCTTCAAAATAGAACGATGCCTTCGACTTAATCACTTGAGCGATTTTGTCTGCATAAACCTTCTCTTGATACAGCGTCTCCAAAGACCAGTTCTCGTTAACCAACTCTTTGTCTTGGTTTAGCTGGGTCTCTCGGAAATGTATACCATTGCCTGCCCACTCGAGCAATCCGCGCACTGCCTCCGCTTTCGTGTTATCCATGACCCAATTCAGCACATCAATTGCAGAAACACGCGCGAGGTCTCGTTGGCCACTGGTCTGAAGTATGTTCTGCGCAACCTCATCAAAACTTGCAATCCAAAGCGTTTGGTTGCATCCCAGCTGCCGCATTCGTCCCGCGCCTTGCATTAGTTTGTCTTTGGTAAGTTTCGGTCCAAGCGTCAGTACGGCAGCGGCATCCGGTAGTAACTTCATGTCCGATCCTCGCGAGCGAGCTTCGTCAAATATCACAAACGTCTCTTTCTCGAGCATCGACGCTTTTTTCAAAGGCACCTTGATCTGTCGAGCTTTCTCGGAAATCATCCAGCAGTTGGACTCTTCACGACTATCAAAGTACGTCACACCAGCAAAGTCAAAGTCAGGTTGTCCGAGAAGAAAATCGGCTGCTCCGTTATTGCTCACTCCGGCAAGGAGCGCACCTGTATCAATAAGAGCCTGCGCTTTCTTGTCCAGTGCAAACCGAAGGACACTCTGCCACGGGATTACAGCACGGTTTGGATTGGTAGTTATCACTTCGTAGCTGTGAGTCACCTGTAGAATCTTGTCAATCATCTTTCCATTTGTGCCCAGCAAGGAAGGCTCATTCGGTTCCTGTTGCGCCACTGAAAGTGGGAGCAAACGGTGATTGTCGTTCGTACCTGAGAATCCGATGTTATTTTCTCCTGCTGCGACGTTCCATGCCGTTCGTGACAACCTTTGCGGATACTGCTGAGTATCGTTCGGAAATACGCATGTGTTGAGGTAGAAGTTGATTGCCTCGATGCAGAACTTGTAAACTCTACACAACGTCTCGAACTGTCGAGCATCGGCGAGGCTTACATGGCGGACATCCGATAGAGCTGTCCGGTCATCATCGTTCAAACCAGGCTCCACAGTAGCAAACCATCGATCATATTGTTGGTTCTGCTCCGAGATATCCAAGCGCAACAGCATTCGAAAAGTGCTTCGAACCTCCTCATTTGTTAGACCACTGTGATAGTATCCCAGTAGGGTGAGCACGATGCACACATCAGGGTGGCTAAACTCGGACCGCTCCGAAGGAACATCCGCGGCACGGAAAGGAATCGCAATTTTCTTCTGTCGCGTACCAAAAACCGGAAGGCCGAAATCAACGCGGTAGCGTTTCTCCATGCAGTGCTCAAACACTCCAAATGCTACGAGTCCTCTCAATGCTAACAACTGAGTTGTGTATGGTGCGAGCTTTGACATGTGATATCCGAGAGCTTCCTGTAGACTCACGGTCGAATCAGTGATAGCCTTGACTAGCGGTTTACGAGCAGCACCGCTACCAAAGGCGTTGAGCCACATCACTTCAAAAAAACACGGGGCACTGTCGATGAGATCCAACACCAATGCCTCTTTGAGTTGATCTCGTAAGTGCTCGGTGCTCTCCACGACGCTGTTAAGCCGGGTGCCCTCGAACGAGCCCAAGCGCGTGGCGTAGTCTGGAGAAACGCAAGAAACATGTGGGGCTTGTAGCACCTTGCGGACTCGAGGCCCGGAAGCTTTATCCGCCACGACTCGCAGTAGCGCTTCTGCAGCCATCCATCGCTCTACTCCACTACCAAGTGGGATGGGAATGCCCACCGCATACACCAAATGATACTTGTGATGAAGCAGTGCGTCACACTCGTCCAAAACATTTACAAACTGGTCGCTGTCAAGGGTTTCGTCCAGCAACTCCACTATGGGACCATCATTTCCCAGCTCCAAACGTTTTAGCTCAAGTGACATGCGATGTTCCGGAGCCACCATTTGAATGCCCCCGAAAAGCTTCAACTCCTCAAGGGTGTCACGAATAAATTCAAGTCTGCGGGTATCCAGGTCAACCTGCCGGTGAAATGGCTGTTCGAAAACTTGTAGGCGAGCACTAGTCGCGGACAAGTATCGGTGCATGAATTGCCGCGCTTCGCTTAGCAATGGACTCAAAAAGTGCGCACGAACAACTCGTGAGCAATGGCTCCGTGTGAAATAGAGAAACAGCATGGGCAAGATCACTCGGGTCTTACCTCGCCCCATGTTAAGCTGGCAGACTGTTCCTGGGCGATCAATGAGGTGCCGAGCAATCACATATTGTTCATGCCGAATCTGAAGTCTACCCTCCACTTCAAACGCCAACCAGTACGGGAATTCTGTCGATTGCCACTGACGAGTATTCACAAGCTCATCAACCATCTGAGCGTCTGATAAATCACCACTTCGACTTGCTATCCAGATCAGCCTCTCCACTTTGTCTTCTAGTACACACAATTCCATGTATTTGAGAACCCCTTTTGAAACTAGTTCTTTCGATTTCTCACTCAATTTCGGCGCCAGTGTTCGAAGTGTTTCTTCATCAAAAGCACAACGGACAATATCACTTACGGTGATCAGGGGCAGGAAGTTGGCAAGGCTTAAAAGGTGATCACGGGTACTGTCCATTGCCTTCGCAAAGGACTCCCACAGATACTTTTGCATCTCAACACGGTGAGAGGACACATCACTCAATAGCGTCTCAAATGGGCCGAGTAACATACCTGGGTCAATCTTTAGTTCGGGCTCCGTTTGCGAGTAGTAGCTATCCCAACTCACTTGCAGCTCGTCCAGCATCCCTCTGCCCATGGCATTTGTAGTACTGCTATCCAACGGTAGTGGTGGAATTTCTTTCGCTTTCTGAGTCTCAATCCGAAGGAAAAGTCTAAGATTATTTTCGATGGACTTCACATAGTCGTCGGCAACTGGGGGTGAGTCGCACAATTCAACTTCTTTGGTTGAACCAGATACTGACGAGTGCCTCACGTACCCAACAATGAGTTTTTCCTCGTCGCTTCGAAACTGTGAACGCAAAGGGTTGCGCTGGACTTGCTTCGCACACATATCTGCGTACTCTGTTTGCTCGTCAGTACTTCCCATCGCTGTACTGATTGTGCTAATTATCTGCGTTTGCCCAATGAGATATGCTTGGCGGTCAGCTTCAGCGAGCAAAGCAACAACCATAATTTTTACCGTTGGTTCACGATAACTCAACTCGTTGATCGACACTAAAGTGTCTCTTTCCGAGGGAGAAAATGGTCGGCTCGACCTACATGCTCGTAAAATTTGTACTGCCATCTCCTCTCCAGTCATTTTCAATAGCTTGCTCGGTACATTCGTTCCAGCTCGAGCACAAACTGCAGCAAGCTGTAGTCTTGCACCAATCGTCTCTGTTTCGAACGTCCTCAAACGACGGTGAAAGTCGTAACATGCCACATCCATTCGACTACTCGCCTCGCTAGGAATTTTGATATCAACCATACCATCCGAAGATTCCGTGACGGGACCAAGTGGAACGAGCATGCGAACTTCTGACCGCGATGTGTCGGACTTGTCCTTCAGATCAAGCAGCAGGTATCGCCTGAATCTCGGCAGGAAATTATCAAACTGCAGCTTCGTTGCCAAGACATATCCATTGTGTTCTACCGACTCGAACTGCATGCTGTCGTTAAGATAAAAAGCCATTTTAAAGCGCGGTAACTCAATCTTCAAAACATTATCAGGACACTTCAGTGGATGAAGGAATTGGGCATCCTCAAACTTTGTCAGCACATTTAGGACACTCAGAACTATCTCTTTTCTCTGAACAAACCGGTTGTAGTCCTTGCGCTGCTCTAAGATCCTTTCATAGGAGCAACTCATGTCACTCAATGGCACTTGATAGCATTGCAAAACACCCTGCTTATCGAATGTAGCAATGAAGAAAACCTTCCGATCATTGGCTTCTATGGGTCGGAAGAGAACACAATTGCGCTCTACCCAGTACCATTGAGTATATAATTCCCACAGCCGAGCTGGTAATTTATCATTAATCATCTCAATCCAGCTGAGTGAGCACAGCTGTAGTGTACTGTCAATACTACGCGATGGATTGAGGACGAGCTCTTGGACGAAAAGTTCATCATTTTCTTGAAGCGCAAACTCGTACAATCGGTCGCAGTACGTAGATTTAGCTTGGAACATGCCACCCACGAAAAACACTTCAAAATTACAGGATCCGAAAAGGGCCTGAAATCGCTTGTGTTCCCGAATGTTAGGCGGTAGGCCACCAGGAGCGTTGCCATCCGTCAAAACAACGCCCGTGAAGAGGTTTACAGCATACTGAGCTCCCGAGGATTCGAAACAGGTTCCAAATTTCTCTTCATCAGGTAGTGGCTCACAAGTTTGCTTCCACTCCAACTGACCAGGCGACGTCGGACTTACTAGACTTACCAAAGTTGTTAGCGCAGACCCTTTGCTCTTCTTAACGTACTCAATCAGATCTGCAATACGACGAGTCATCATTTCAGTGATCTTGCTATCTACGCAAAGCATGGACTCAGTGGAGGGGGCTATGATAGCAGCACAGAGGACAGAAGTGCGGAATAACACGATCAACTCGCACACTTCCTGACATGCTGCATCGTCTAGTGGTCCTAATGAATAGGCTAGCAGCGCGTAGCCATACAAAATGCACTTCTTCTGACGGAAAGTGGTAATTCGGTCAGGAGATTGTTCGCTCTCATCTTCAGCAGGCGAATTTTCTGCCCAGCGCCTCGCTATTCTAGAATACAATTTCACAATAGGCTTTGCAACGTCTGTGAACTGATGCAGATACCCAGCCAGTTCACTAAGAAGTGGAATAGCCTTAAAGCGGCGTGGTGTTTGCTCTAGTTGATTGGCAATGGCACCAAGTGTAGCACAAAAAGTTTCCAAGCCCTTCTCACCGCTCAGCATATCAGCCTTCCAGCTGAAACTAGGCTCCTTCTCGTCCGTAAGATTTCCGATTTGATAAAGTGCCTGCCGCACGATGATTTTCACACAAGTATGTGACCACGGGAATATGTCGTTCAGTAAGGCACATTGCAGCTTTCGAAACTGTTGGTTTGGAAAGGAACGCAAGGAACCAAGAGCAATAAATGACGCTTTCTCAAAATTGTCAGGTTTCTGGTGAATATTTGCGTAGACCAAGTTTCCTCGTGTATCCTTTTGACCGGGCCAAGAATTCATCCACTGAAGAGATTTAAATGGTTGTGGGATTTCTTCAATGAAGCTGTCGATCACACACGCTGGAGTTGCAAGGAAAGGATTCAAAACTACCCCAGCTGAGTCTTCCCACGTTAGTCTCGTTTTGTACAGAATTGGATTTGAAACGCACTGTGACTTGAACTGGGAAATGTCAAAAAGACTGTCCACGGTTTGTGGCCGGTTGCACCCTGGAAGGAAGACCGCGCCAGGGGTTGCTGTGAACTCCGTCGTTGTTGCACATAGTACTCGAGATGGTGCCTCCTGGTAGTAAAATGCCTTCCATGTGGTGTTGCTCAAACCTGATAACATCTTCATTCTAGCCATCGGTTCCGTTGGTGCAAGAGCTCGTTGAGCAGTTAGACACAAGCTTCCGAGAAGCTCAAGATTTCGAGGCATGGTCAGCATGAATATGATCTGAATAGCATCATCTTTCACCAATGGCAGCGGTCGAACCAGAGGTGAAGGAACAGCAAGTTCCTGTCTCAGCAATGCTTTCGCTCGCTTGATCCGCGAGTTGATGCTAACGATGCCAGCTTTTAACTTTAATTTTTCGGGGCTTTTGAGTTGATCTGTATATTCTTCATGTAGACGAGCATTTTCGTCCGCAAGTTCGTGATGTTTCGATTGTAACTCATCCGCAAGAGTAGAAAGTTGAGTGCGGATCTCAGCGACTCTTCTTTTCTTTTGTTTAATCTCTTCCCACTTCCTCTCCACATGCGATTCCCAGCTTGCAATGTCACGGTTGTAAATGTCCATCATGCTGCTGCTGCTCAAAGCAAACTTTCGTCCGAAACCAAACGTCGGATCCTGGTTGGTCAGGTGGAATAGTTGAAGACCTCCAGTTTTCTGGTTCCACCCACGAATGTACTTGCTCACATGCTGGAGAGCACTTATGGCAACACGGTCACTTAGGACAGCTACTTTCAGGTCCTGCCAATCAAGAGCAATATTGTACTCAGCGCATAAAGGCACTTGCCTCACGCATTTCTGATGAACGAGACAAAATGCAATCCACATCACCAACATCTCTCGGCTGCGCTGTTCTACATCCAAAAATGATGTTAAGTGTGGAAGCTGGCGCCACTCACGAATATGATCCTGGTATACTGTAACAAGCAACTTAGTACTCTCAATGAAATCCTCATCATTGTCGAAGAATGGGTGCTCATCTTCTGTGCTTAGTTTGACAGATCTCGCGAACATGAATGATTCAAACGTCCGCAATACCAGAATATACTTGCATGATTTCAAAGCGTCGCTAGACTTTTCCCAGCACAGCAACGCATTCAGACTGCACGTAACCACATCAAGATGCCAGCAGCCTTCCAGATTTGTTAATGCACGGAGGTGACGCTCCTCCTCGCTCGCTTCGGGGCTCAAAACTTTGTCACGTTTTGGTGAGTCAGCTTGAATGCCGCAATCAAGTGTATGAAGCTGTTGCATTTTGGCACGATCTGGCAGCTGATAGCATATCGCAATCTTGCGGTTCAGAAAGTCCACAAATTCATCAATTCTAGCTCGCAGATTACTGTACCGATCCAGTAAAGCTGAGATGTCGTATCCGCAATCGAGAAGATTAACAGTGGTCTCAATAACGACTTGTAGCATGAAAAAGAGATCATCCACCGCGACACAACCGTCTCGAGTACAAATCCCGCGATCAAAACTACTCTGCGTCTCGAGCACAGCCGCTTGAAGCAAACTCAGCTGGTACATCACCATCGTCTTTCGAAAAAGCCCTTCGTTACAGCAAAGGTTATCAGCAATCACCGCCTGAACGATTGGCCAGCACGTGTCACGTGGTCCTCCTCCCGTGTGCTGCCCCACATCCGTAGTTCCTCCTTGAGGAGAAAATCGTTCGTTATCAACACTTTCTTCGTCGTTCTCTTCGTCGTCCTCTTCGTCGTCCTCTTCATCGTCCTCTTCGTCGGACGTTTTCGCAACAGCACGGCGCATCATTGCAGCAATTGCACGGCGCACGACTGCAACAATAAATTGCGGTGTCTTTTGATGTCCCAGATTATTAAACGCCGCAGACCGCTTCGATCCTTTGCTCAATTGAGCTTTTTCTAGCTTCATCGTAAATTTTCTCCCGAATCTCTCCTCTAAAGCCGAATCCAAATCTGCACAATGTATTTTGTGGTACGTCTTGGAAACTGCACTATGCACGCACGTCCCTGTCGGCAAAAAATGCAGCGTTCGGTCCCATCCGTCTACAAATATCACGTGCAATTTGATCACTGCTGCATTTATCTTTGTTCGTTGCAGTACACAGCCGTACGCTGGAAGCCACGGATCGTACCAAATATCCCCTCGTTTGTGGATTACGTCATCCCCCTGATCCTTCAAACGGCGACAAATGTCTTGCAACACATTCACTTCATGAACAGTAAAGACTCCAGCTGGAACGATCCGGTCATCCACGAGAGGGTGTACCCAACCACAGTAACGATTAGACTCCTGAATTGCGTGGAGCGTTGCAACGAAGGCGGCAAATTGGTTCATTAATATCTCGCATAAAATTTTATCCTGCCGATAACTCGGAGTCTTGTGTGTAAAACGAAAAATTACATTGAGTACTTCGTCCTGATCAGTTTTACGTCGCTTTGGCTTTGCGACTTCATTCAAGTCCACGAAATATCGATTACGCTTCATAGATAGCGGCGTAATTCGAGAATAAGTCGACAAACTTCACGACAGTTTTGTCAAATGTGGTCACTAAGTCTCATGTGAGTCATTTTTTCTTTGTTTTGTGTTAGTTGGTACGAAGAATATTCACTGAAAACTCTTTCCCTGCATTTCTTGCATTCGTATTAACGTACATCTATTGGTATTGTTTTCTATAGTTAAAACCTTTATCAGGAAAAGGGTTAAATGGCATAGCTATGTGCTAAAGTGGTTTTCCGAATGTTGACCGAATGGAATCATACATTTATATAGACAGTTGCCAAATAAGAGTCACAACCATAACCAAGTGGTAAGGGGATGAACGTGACTATAGCAACAATGGAGCAACTCGCGCCTATCCGAAGCAGTAGGAGCAGCCACAAAGGTCACTTGGATGAGTCAACGCATGTGGTAGAAACACATGGAGATTTCTGTTATAATAATGTATCATTCCCAGCACTTGGACCGACTCTAGAGAAGGCGGTAACTCTTTCCTCTGTCATGGGCAAATGTTATCCCAAGTGCATGAATTTAGAAGAAGACGAGCTATTGCAGCCAGGAAATGAGACTCAGAAGAGCGAGACGAAGTCATTTCTAGTCGATGAGGTGGAGCTAATGAGGACATTTGACTTGGAGGAGTTGGGACTGGCCACGGCTTTGCAGGCCTCACAGCAACAGGCAAAGAGTATTGTGGTTGATTATGAAGACAGTGATGGAGATCGCGTGGGGCTCCAAGATCAGGCGGCGGCCACGTGTGTCCTTAGTGCCTGTGGCCCGCTGATAGACAGCGTGGTGTCTACTGACTCGAGCAATGAACGTCTTGCACGTCGTCGCTCTCGCTGCGGTAGCTTGGAGATGCTCAGTTTAAAGGGGAAGAGCGTGATCTTCCAGCAGAACATTCCCAGCTTGTCCAACATAGATACAGATGAGGAGATGCGCTGCTCTAAGGTACACAAACTCTGCATGTGTGAAGTAAAGTTGCACCGCTCACTCGAGTCATGCTGGCTCATGTCCAGCGGCCAAGTGTACGACGTCACGGGGCTCATCACAGTTCACCCGGGAGGTATCCGCTCGATTCTTCGCAAGGCTGGCGGCCCAGACTGTGCTCGGGACATGAAGTTTCACACTAAGAAAGCTCGTAAGATGATGGAAAAGTGTTTCATCGGCAAGCTTGAACAATGCGGCGACAATGTGGACTGCGTCAGTGAAGGCAACTGCAGCGTCATGTAGACGCAAGTCGATTTCTAGACGTATAAAGTAGCCGATGAAAGAGGCCACGGCGCCTTCTTTCCGTATAAATTATCTAAAGGCAGTGGCAAGAAACACAATTGAGCTGAGGAATCAGCATCAACTCAAACGACGGGAGCTTAACCGACTAGAAGCTTCACTTTGCTTTTTGTTTACCGGTACTCGCCCCTGCACGACAATCCACCAAACAGGTTCTACTACCAAACATCCTCCTTTTTTCCTGCCTTCCGACAATCTCCAATGTTGTAGAGCTCAGGTAAACTGTTTCATGAACTCAGTTGCAACGATACGACCACGAGCATTAAGTGAGATTTTCATCTCACTGATTTCCTTGTCAATGTCCTCCATAAAGGTGATGATAAAGTCAATGAGTTTGTGTTTGTACATATTCTCGAGATGCTGATGCACTACGAGGAAACTCATGTCGTAGCCCTCCACAGGTACTCGTCGCATGATAATAAACTTCTCGGCACGTTGCATGAGGAAGCGATTAAACTTGTGGCTGAGGATCATTTCAATCTCGTCCGCTTTTTTAATGCAGATACTCACACGCGTCGAGTTAATCGACGGTTCAATAAGGCATTTCTCTTGCTCATTACGGCAGATGAGCACGGGATTCAGCAGTAGCTCCTTGCTCATCCTGAATCGTCATAGAATTTCAATCAACATATCTCTCTCATTAGGAATATACCATGACAATTAGACGAACGTACTGCATCTCGACTTCTGGTTTGTTGTGGCGCTCGACTGTTTGCGATGGAAAGTTGCGTAGACATAACGCCGAGTCCAGAGAGCTGCGAATAGCACTGAGGTATGGAGCAAGTGTGTTGGCCTACAAATAAGAGTGAGTGACGAGAGCTAACGCCCGAGGGGGTTATGAAGAGGAACGTACCATCTTTTTACTTGGAGATTTCTTGACAATGAGGTAGACAAATCATCTTATTAATTGTATGTGATGCATAATACGATAATTTCTAGCAATCACAGTTAGCTCGCTTTTTTTTGCGACAAACTTATTTTGGTCTCGGTAACATATATTCTCTAATTTTTTGCAACGGATGGAGCTTATATTGGAAGGCGTTATTTATCAACCACCTCATTAATAATAACCATCAACCACCCCATATATAACAAAAATCTGATCGGTCAGAATTTGAATACCCCTGCAGTTAATTTAGCAGCAGTAGATCAGAAAGTTCAAAATTCATAAAAAAGGTGGTTGATATATAACCGCCTCCCTTTAGATTTTGTGTGAGGACCGAGGCAAAATTCTCTAAAAAGCTCCAAGCATTACAGTAAGTACTATGCAGTGAAATTCGTAATTTACTCACGATAAATTTCGGTCATAAGCAGGTTATTTCAACGTAGACAGAGAAAGACTTATAGGCTAAAAGCCTCTTAGTTCTATACTGTAGAACTAATAAAAGGTTACGGCTTAAAGCCACAAAGCTCCAAGGAGCTAATTTATGGCTAGGAGCCTTAGTTCCTTCATCTAAAAAACGACTACGAAGTCTACCTGTTCTAAGGAAGTAGGAGAGACTTCTACAGTCCATGAGTTTACGCTCACAAGCTTAGAAAGCTTACGATGCAAAGAATGAAACGCACGAGGTGCACTAGAAAACAAGGATTATTAAAAGCTTTGTTTCTATAACATATTAATGAGAACTGATTATTTTATGCATAAAGATATAAAAATCAAACCTACCCTAAGTACCCTACACTAGATTAATTACTAAAATAGTAATTATCATATGCAGACTATTTTAGTGCGCGACGTGTTGTTCAAACATCTGTGTATGATGTACTTAGTACAGCGATTTCGATCATCGAATCCTAACCGATATGATACGGTATGCCGAATACCGTATCTTAGTGCTCATACTTTATACCTCCTTTAAGGGAAGTATCAAGAATACATTTATGCAATATTCATGGAAGTAAAACCATGAAATTATTCTAAATATAATGATTCAACCGTTGTGTTGCCTCGTTACACTCTCCCCCACTAGACTGACGTTACCACATAACATTACTCGACACATTTCTCAAAAGGTTGAGTAACACGAACATTAAACCTAACGGTTGTTCATAGTGCACACTCATATTATGTCCCCTAGTCACGGTCTGAGGCTCTTCGTGATCTATTGAGAAAGATGTCGAGGAAGCGGTGAATTGCGGAAGTAAAATCACCTCCCTCAAAGACTTTGAGTCTAAACCTTGTGTGAAGGGTGAAAGCGAGTCTGAACCCAGTCCAAAGGGTGAAGACGAACTTCGACGCACACCTATTTCGTTCCCTGAACGTAGTGTTGCGGACACTCTCATGGCGTTTCTCTATACACCTGACGCAACGTCAGCCACATTATTGACAAACCCGCTCGATGAGCAGCAACAAAAAGCTGTTGCACAAAAGCAGGGCGCTAAGCGCCGGTCGAGGAATATGGCCGCACTCCAAACGCGTGGCGAGTATAACTTGACGCCATCCTCCGTGGAAAAACGCCTCAAAAAGTCAGTTGGTCAAACGCTAGCGTTGTGGATCATACGCAGCAGTTTGCGTGCGCTTTAACACCTGCGTCTGGACATGAGGCTACTACACCCGAGGATATCGCTCGCTACGCGCACGGCACTTAACAAGCAATACTTGGAGCCGAACTATATGTCGCTAATTTAGTATAAGGCGCGACTGGATAAAAAAGCACGAGGTGCCTCTGTTCCGGTCATGAGGGGTGTGCCCATGCCTCATCGCCGAAGAGAAGGTGAAAAGCGAAGAGGACAACGTTTTTATCCGATGTATGCATCGAACACGACGGATCAGTAGCATCTTTGCTCTACGAGCCAGTGCCAGAATGGCAGATGCTCGCTTTCAACGGAAGCTGCGCTACGATTGTGCCAAGCTTAAGACCTGTGGCGAAGCGTAGAGTAATTTTGCAGCTTGAGATCGCACATTTTCGGTTAAGTGCGAAATGGGTAAAATGGATGGATCGCAATCCAGCCAAAGCATTTCTCGAGACGTTACCAATGGAATGTACAACAGTGAATGGTGGTGCTCGCAGTTATTTGTTGGATTAACTACGGACTAGAACTACGCAACTGCGATCCCAGTATTTTTTTCGAATGGCGATCCGCGTGAGCGCGATCGCTAAGATGGAGACTTAGTGTGTTCAAATATGAGGAGCAAGGTCTGGTGTATACTACATCACGCTGGAAGACTGGACTTAGGTGGACATGACATATCATGTAGATGGACCATTTCCCCTGATTCGGTTCACTGAGAAGATGACAGTGCCAAGCCATGATCCGGCGGATCGCGATCCGATACTAACTATTAGTATTGCGATCTGATACTAGTACAGTATTAGATCCGATCGAGGTAGCGATCCAGATCGCGGTGATATTGGAGTGGACCACATGACAAGATCTGTTTTTTCGAAAAGGTGATACGTGGCAATAGATCCTGGACTGCAGATAGGCAGAATCGTAGGTTTTGGTATTTGATTGGTTAACATTAAAGAGAGTTCAATTTACTTCAAAAGGAACACGTGTCAGCTTCTTCTCCGGGTTGGATTCTTTGGCCACCCGACTTCTCGAGAAGCTCACCCCCCTCGCAAGTTTACGCCCTGGATTGTTTGGCCAGGTGCGTCAAGGACTCTCAAGACACCTCCAAGCTGCGTTTATACGCAGAGGACTAAAAGTCCAGATACAAGATCGCGAGACGGCTCAAGTGGTCAGAAGGCAAGCGGATCAAGTATCAACCAAGTGGACAAGGCGATCTCAAGGGAGACCAGGGCGACTCAAATAGAGCACCCCAAGAACAACTGCGATCGTGTGAGGAACTCCGCGCGATTGAACCCCCAACCAATCCCTAACACAATCAAGTTCAACATCGACTCAAGTCTACCGAGAAGAGAGCAACCCGCCCTACCGACGGGTACACAAGGTGAGGAAGGCTTTATACACGGAATCGGGGTACCCCCTCCGTTAGTCGGTCGTCCGGGCGCCAGTGGAGAGTTGGGATCGCATCAGCAATCTTGCGAATCCCACTCCACCACAATGGTGCGCGTGCCCGGACTTCTGGGACCAGGGATTTCACCGTGAGTCCCTGAGAGAAGATGTAAAGGTCATAACTGAACCTGGGATTGAAGCGTCAGCGGCAAAGGGATCACCGCAGACGTGTGAAGAAAAAAGATCCCCGGATCATCAGCGTTTTGGGAGGGGCGCAGATGAAAAGAAAACCAAAGAGGAAGATCAAGAGATTGATCTGGAAGAAAAACCTCTACCCCCTCCCCAGGTCCTTTCGAGGACCCCTACGGATCACGTTGCAAAACGCGATCCGCTGGATAAAAATCCTTCGGTCAAAACCAAAGAGAAATTAATCCAAAACCACACCGAATTCGAAGAAGAAGAAGAATTCGAAGCCATCTCGAGTGAAGATGAAGGCGCCTGAGTCGGATCATGATGATGTCGACATGAAGCTGGCGCATGAGGAAGACAAGGCGAAAGGATGGCAACTGGATCAGCTGGAATGGTGTTTTCATTGGAAGGCGGCTTAAAGATCTGTTGTCAAGCGATCCCGTTCTAAAGATTTTGAAACCGAAGTTGATTGGATCGCTACGAGGACCAATTTCAGCTCCCATTCCGACACCGAACCAGTTGGAAGCGATCCGTCGGCTTATGGAGTTGCTCCAGAACGCTGGATTCACCGCTGGAGCTTTTGACGCGCAGGTGCTGTTGGAATGCAATCTTGATCGAGTGATCCAGGCAGGGCGATCTCCTTTTTTCGAATCTAGTCCCGCTTACTGGAGAGCGCGATCCAGTAGATCAGGCGATCCAACCGATAGTGGATATTCCAAAAGGATACTGGGTCGTCAAAAATATATGCCAGCGGAATCTGGAGGGGAGTCGGACGTCTCGATCAACATTCAGCGAATGTCACTTGGACCGGCTGGTGCAGCACATATTCGCGAACAACTTGTACCGACCAAGGCCGAAGTGCGATCTCCAACGACCTCCGCAGCTGAAGACATGAATGTGACTGGATTAGGCCAGCTGCAGCTCGACTTTGAAGCTGCTATGAGAAAGTACGAGCAGGATCAAGCTCGCATGATCGCCAGTCGATCCGCGATCGCCACAAACACCCCAAAAGTTTGCATTTCGGATGTGGATATGGAATCGGCCGGATCGCGTCAATCGCGATCCAATAATTACGACCTGGATGATTTGGGGCTGGAGGATCTAAGACGGCCACAAGTGGCAAGTGCAGGCGCTGTACCTAATGGTGGACTTGTCACGCAGCGAATTCGAATGTCTGCGATCGCAGACCTGAAAGAATTTACAGGACGGGACAAGGATGAAGATCAAGCGAGAAGTTGGGTTAACAAGGCCAAGTCGGCGTTCTTACGCGATCAAGCCCCGGATGATGAAAAATGTCTAGTATTTGGTGATTTACTCACGGGGCCGGCACGAAATTGGTATAGCCAGTTAAGTCGATCCACTCGGAACTCTTGGAAGTCGTTGTTGGAGACCTTCATGATCCAGTATTGTGGATATGGTATGTCGGTCGGGAGACAATATTACCATGCGAAGAAGCGATCTGATGAAACTCCATTGGAATATTTGTATCGGCTGAATGTGGCCGCGATCCGAGCAAAAATTCCCATTCGGGAGGAATCGCCTTCAATTCGCCGAGAACATGTGGAACATTTCATTGGTACACTGGATGATCGCGATCTGACTAAGCAGTTGACGTTGTTACGCCTTGGAGACGCCGATGATATGGAAGAAACTCTGCGAACATATCAACGCATGGAGGGAAGACAGTATCCGAGTGCAATGGGATCGAGCAAATTTCGTCAGCGATCTGCGTCGGCATCCACTCCGGCACCCTCGAAACCAACTCGT